TAGCCAGAGCCAGAGCTCAAAACTGAAACCGAATCCCAAATCGAATTCGAAGCCAGGCCGAGAAAAGCTGACGTGTGGCGTTGGCGTGAATCACTTGAGCCAAAAGGTCAGGCCAACAAGGTTGAAGAAATGCAAACTTTAAGCGGCCAACTGAAAACTGAAAACTGAAAGCCGAAAACTGCAAAATTAATTGCCGTTTGCTGGGAAATGCGGAAATTAATTGGATGACTACCACCATCCGAAACGAGCAAACGACAAACTTTGTGGCGCAACAAATTGGCAACAAATTCGGCTGGAAGCAGTGCGCGGCCAGCCGGCAATAATAAATGGCCAATGCCGGCAAGCTGGAAGCTGGGAGCCGCAAAAAGGCCAAAAAACGTTTGGCTTCTGCGCATTTTTGCGTGAAGAGAGTGCCAGAGAGGGACCAAGTGGAAGAAGAGAGTCATTACCACGCAATGGGGAAAGAAGCAGGCAAGCTGGCAATCAGGGGTCAAGGGGTTAATAGGCAGCATTAATAGACATCGTACGAGGCGATCGGCTGACCGGTTGGGCCTAAATTCGCTTCAAACTCCACTTAGAGAAAACATTTCAGACAAAGCTCCATAAATAATTGTTCTTTTATATTTTTTTTCTTGTCCCAAGAATAATAGTTATATAAATACAATTTATATAATACAAAATTGTTTTATATCAACGATCGATCTACAAATCGTTTAAGGTAGTCCGCTCAAGAATCGGATGATTTTTGCCAAAGATAGAGCCTTCCCCGGGGCCATATAGTGGCTCCAAGCACTTTTGTGCATTTTTGAAGGGGATCCTCCAGGAAATTTGACAAAAAATCTGAAAAATATTATGTTCTTACATTTTGATGCAGATTTGTGGAGAATCGATCTACAAATCGTTTAAGATAGTCCGCTCAAGAATCGTATGATTTTTTCCAAAGATAGAGCCTTCCCCGTGGGCCATCCAAGCACTTTTGTGGATTTTGAAGGGGATCCTCCAGGAAATTTGACAAAAAATCTGAAAAATATTATGTTCTTAGATTTTGATGCGGATTTGTGGAGAATCGATCTACAAATCGTTTAAGATAGTCCGCTCAAGAACCGGATGATTTTCGCCAAAGATAGAGCCTTCCCCGGGGGCCATATAGTGGCTCCAAGCACTTTTGTTCATTTTTGAAGGGGATCCTCCAGGAAATTTGACAAAAAATCTAAAAAATATTATGTTCTTAGATTTTGATGCAGATTTGTGGAGAATCGATCTACAAATCGTTTACGGTATTCCGCTCAAGAGTCGGATGATTTTTGCCAAAGATAGAGCCTTTCCCGGGGGCCATATATTGGCTCCAAGCACTTTTGTGGATTTTTGAAGGGGATCCTCTAGGAAATTTGACAAAAAATCTGAAAAATATAATTTTCTTAGATTTTGACGCAGATTTGTGGAGAATCAATCTACAAATCGTTTAAGATAGTCCGCTCAAGAACCGGATGATTTTCGCCAAAGATAGAGCCTTCCCCGGGGGCCATATAGTGGCTCCAAGCACTTTTGTTCATTTTTGAAGGGGATCCTCCAGGAAATTTGACAAAAAATCTAAAAAATATTATGTTCTTAGATTTTGATGCAGATTTGTGGAGGATCGATCTACAAAACGTTTAAGATAGTCCGCTCAAGAATCGGACGATTTTTGCCAAAGATAGAGCCTTCCCCATGGGCGATATAGTGGCTCCAAGCACTTTTGTGGATTTTTGAAGGGGATCCTCCAGGAAATTTGACAAAAAATCTAAAAAATATTATGTTCTTAGATTTTGATGCAGATTTGTGGAGGATCGATCTACAAATCGTTTAAGATAGTCCGCTCAAGAATCGGATGATTTTTGCCAAAGATAGAGCCTTCCCCGTAGGCCATATAGTGGCTTCAAGCACTTTTGTTCGTTTTTGAAGGGGATCCTCCAGAAAATTTGACAAAAAATCTAAAAAATATTATGTTCTTAGATTTTGATGCAGATTTGTGGAGAATCGATCTACAAATCGTTTAAGGTATTCCGCTCAAGAGTCGGATGATTTTTGCCAAAGATAGAGCCTTCCCCGGGGGCCATATATTGGCTCCAAGCACTTTTGTGGATTTTTGAAGGGGATCCTCCAGGAAATTTGACAAAAAATCTAAAAAATATTATGATACAAAAACAAAATTCTAACATATAGTTTGGCAAACATTTAAACATCTTTGGGCCATATAAGGTTTTCCCATACCCCTATCTTCTTTGTCAATTTCTGACGAAATATTCGGATATATGTATAACTCTAACAACGTGGCATACTATTGAAACTAACTATTGGGTATTGCCACAAGGTTGCATATATGTATATGTACATATCTTTCAAGAGCCTCAATCTTCGGGAAAGGCTAGAGTCAGATCATCGATGTCGCCTCGATGCCTGGCCCTGGGCGGAAAACTTTCCTCCGATCGGGCCATCAATGTGAATGCGTATTTAAATCCAATCGGCGACGAAAGTTTCCCACTCCCCGAGTGGCGGACAGTCGGACAGCCTGAGCAGCACTCAGGACGGGTAATGCACTTATGAAAAGCCATGGCATAGACAATTACGGCAATTTGTATGCGCTCTGATGATTGGCCGTGCATATGATTGACTTATTGATTGGCCGATCGAGCGGCTGATTGATCGACTGATCGATTGCTAAAGTGACGGACTGGCTGACACTAAGCCGCGGTCAGCCTCAATTAGCCGATTCGACAGTCGACTGCGTTCATAGAACTCTGGGGCTACCGTTAGGCCCCGCTATATATAGCTCCCTGATACCGTCGCATATGCTAATTGTAGGTATGCCAAATCGGGAGTCTAGACTTCATAAATAAGTCCGAGTCGAACGGCTACGTGCCGCGCATGCCTGCGCGTTTGTTTTTATTTATATATGATATTGTAATGCCTGGGCAAATATTTACGATGTCAAATGCACTGAAATGCACTGCATTGGGCTCTGTTTTGCTGTCGGTGCCATAAATCACCGGGCAACATGCCCCGATCTCGCAGCCCCAGAACCTGGAAGCGTTTTCGCAGTGTTGTTTCCAAAATAGTCTGGCGGCCCAGCCTACATACTTACGTTTTAATTTATGCGTAAGCCGGGATTTAGTAGCTTTTCAATATTAATTTCGTACTCTCCGGCATAAGCAGGCCCATAAATCACAATAACACAAAGATCGGACTCATATGTCGGATGGGCTCTTTGGATTTATTGCGCAGATGGGAAAAAGGGGCATCTGGATTTGGAGTCATCGGTGTGGCGTATTTTAATTTATGCTTTCCGATGTCTTTTTGTGTTTTACGATCGTTTTTTACGGGCAAAGGTTATGACAGTATATTAGCGTTGAGATAAGTTTTGACTAATCCTCTGGTCCATCACTAGTTACACCTGACTTCGAGCCCTACATATGAGGCCCATCACAGCCCCCAGCATTGTGACAAATCGTTGGTAGCTGGCAGTTCCAAAATATAATATGATTCCCGGGGAGAAACTTAGCTGGGAGCCAGTGTGGGATTAATTGTACGATATCTGTGGATGTCGGCAGCTCGGATGTCCCAGACATCTCGGACATCGTGGACAGCTCCTACAATCCCCGGCCACAAATCCTATTAGAGCTGCCCCAAAGCGCCGCCGGCCAATGGGGGCTTGGGCAGACAAATTTAGTAAATAAAATAAAACGGAAAATAATCATAAATACAAAGAGTGCGCAGCTGTGCCGCGAAAAAGCCAAAGATCACCGAAAGGCCGAAAAGCCCGAGTTCGGGATAGGTCCAAGCCCCAATAAAGCCCCGGGTCCGGACTCCGGAGCCTGACCGACGCGGGGGCGTGTGTAATCTGACATCTTCATGAAATAATTAAAATTATTTATTAATAATTTATTTTCACTGGCCTCAGCCTCAGTAGATAAAGTGAAAGATAAGCGGCGTGTGTGCTTTAGACAATTGAAATTAATTTGTCAAACGGTAGACGGCGACCACGCCCCCTATAACTCAGACAAAGGCGGAAGGCAGTCAGGCTTTTAGGCTATTCAGAGAGGAGAAAGGAAAGGAATTTGTCGGGCAACTTTCACGGCGAAAAGCTTTTAGATGGGGTCGTGAAAAAGGTCACATCCCGCCGGCCAATAAGGTAGCAGGTTAGTCGAGTTCGCAACCAGGACAGGGCGAATCCTGTTTTCCGATTGTGGGTTGAAGTTGAGATTTTTCTAATATCAAATTTGAAATTTACATTTTATACCTCAGGGCAGCACTTGCTGCCACAACAAATTAATCAGAGAATGGCACTCTGGCATGGGTATCTGGGAAATCTGGGCATCGGTAAGATCTGCCACGATTCGGCCGGCTACCTGATGTCGAGTGCCCTGCGGCCGAAAGTGGCGGCCAGTGCAGTGAATGCAATTAAATGCAGTCTGCAGTTGGCAGTTGGCAGCTCCATGCATCTAGCGGGCAGTTAATCATGCATCGACAGCCGGCTTTTGGCCGCCAACTGGCAGCAAGCAGCCGGGAGCCGGCAGTCGGCAGTCGGCAGCCCAACATTTTGGCGGTCACTTAGAAGTGCGGTGGCCGTGGAAAGTGTTGAGCGAAAAAGCGGCTGGCAATTAAAACACGTTGGGGCCCAGGCTGCAGCTTTTTCCCCAGATGTGGCTTGTGGATGGCATGACGCACATATGCTTGGCCTGTGTTGGCCAAGTAAGTTGGCTGTGATGTGCGCAGCGAATTGGCTTTCAGCGGAGCTGCGATCCGCTCCATTCCACTTCAGCCACGCCATGCCACACCGTGGCAGGAATGAGGAAACGTTTTGGTGAAAAGCTGAGACGCGTTGAGAAATGTGGTTAATTGATTTTTGTTTTTGTACGTAATTAATTTATGGCTTCCCCTGCGAATCGCTGGCAGAATGCACTTTCTGAACCTACTCCCCATACATACATAAATGCTAAAACAATTGTTTCTTCTCCTTGCAGAATCACGCTGCATGGCTATACGACAATGTCCAATGCTCGCGAGCTGGCATTGATCGAGAAATGGGCTGACATTGCCACGCCGGCGACGCCGAACAGGCCGACTCTGTCGCCGACCTCCCCCCCGGCCCTCCACCGGTCCATCGTGAAGCTCTGCTGCTGCCCCCAGCGCAGGCGGTACAATCTGAACCCGAAGCACTCCCCCGGCCAGTCCAGCAAGACGGCGGCCAACACGCTGCATGCCAGAAATATATTCGCCGATAGCAGTGGCAGCATCAGCGGCAGTGGTAGTGGCAGTGGCAGTGGCAGTGGCAGCGATCTGAGCTATATTGATGATGTGCCGCGACGACGCCAGACGCGAGATTGCGATTACAATTGCCACTTTGAGTACACTGTAGATAAATTCGATGGCGATGCTGATGGTGATGATATTGGCAATCGCGACGACGGAAATGCGGCGCTGATAATAATGAATCAACGAAACCTATGCGAACAATGGCGGCAGGACAACAAAGGCAGTAGCTGCAACACTCCAGCAACAGCAACAACAGCAACAAAGAGCCCGCAAAGTGGCAATGAGCAGCAGAAAAAGCAGCAACAGCAGCAGCAGCAACAAGAGCAGCCCAAACCAACCCAAAGACTTAGCAATAGCTTGCAACAGGCACAGCAGCAACAATTGCGACAGCAACAGCAACAGCAACATAGCAATAAGGAAAATACACTAAGCTACGACAACAACAACAAGCCGCGCTGTAATTATTGTAAATTACCCGACACCGCCGAACCCCAAACGAATAGCAATAGCAACTGCAGCAGAAATAGCAACAGCAACAGAAACTGCAACAGCAACTGCGACTCGAAAATTGATTCACCGAAGTCGTCGCCGAATAAAATGACAATTACGACAGCAACAGAAACAGCTAAAGCAACAGCCACATCCAGCGAGTGTGGGCTGCCGACCGAGGCAGCCGCGGCAAGCGAGGAGCTTGTGGGTGCTGCCACAGAAGTGCTGTGCGGCGATAAAGCAACATTGACAGCAGCAACACCAACTAAGCCCCGCATTGCGGCGCGTCCGACCACGCCCAGCCGCCTCAAGACTGTGATCAAAACGACAATGGTGAAGCGGAGTCCTAGCCATGACTCAACTGCAGCACATGTGTTGCAGCCAAACAGCTGCAACAGCAACACCAACAGCACCACCAACAACGGCGGCAACATCGACGAGCCCAGACGATCGGTTAAGGAGCGCATCGCCGCCTTTGCGGCAGGAAATGGTGAGTTTTCTCGATTTATTTTTACTTTTTTGCGGCGATGCTTAATCAGCTTTGGAAACTAAGTCGCATTGTCGCCGCGACGGAAATGTTGATGTTCCTGAGGGTCCCTGCAACACGCATGGTGGGAACCAGACAGCTCTCATTGGTGTCATTGGCTAGCTAATAGAGCCTATTAAAGTCTTTCCTCCATGGTATTAGTCGGGGTGATCTATCTTATCTGTATCTGACCATACTGTTTCAATATTTATGGAAACAAAGGCAAGAGTAGTTACTTCCTGTTGTCGAATTCCTGCAGTACTTACGTGTTTTCAGAACTAAATGCCACGGAAAGTAAATTATATTTCAGAGAATAAATCTCAAGCATCTGAATCATTTTCGCGGGCAATTAAAATTAATTACATTATCGTTTGATAAACCAAAATATATAACTAACCGGTTGAGGGGGAGCAATGGAAGGGCGTAGAAGCCTTTCCCCGATGCACTTTTCGATGAATTATGCATGACGGGGAGCCTTGGGTTTCCGTTAGCATGACACACTCGCTAGAGGCACACCTCAGGCCCAGTCGGCGAGAGCCGAATCTATTACAAATCAATTAAATGCCGCAATGTTTAATAAAAAGCCACTTAAGGCCCCGATCCAAGTGTCCCCCGCCATTGTGCCCGATAATAAAGCTAAAAATTTTATTAATAATGCGTCTCTGCACAGTCTGCGGCAATTGGAAATGGAAAAGTCATAAAAGCCGGAGTCGAAACCCGAAACTGAACGATGGCAGTCGGTGGGTGCAGCCACGCACTCGCAGGGGGCGGAGGCCGACATCGCCAGATCGCCGGATCCCAGAGAAAAGGAGAAACACTCCCCTGGTCGGTCACTTTGTCGCCAGCCAGTGGAGTGCACTCCAATGCTTCGCGCCACGCCCTGGGCCTGCATTTCGCACAAAAACTGAATGCCAGCGACAAAGGCGCAACAGGAAACACGTACACTTGGCGATCGACGTCATGAGTGCGTATTATATCACTTTGATAGGCAAATGAGGCTTGAAAGCCGCCACAGACCGGGCCCTCAGACCTCGAGTCCTGGGCCTGGGTCTGGGCCCCTGCCATGACGAAGAAGACGTTCTCCCAAGCCGACACCCGTCAGCTCGGGGATCGCTGGACTTCTTTTCCTGCTCATCGGCCGCTAATCGCGGACTGGAGTATTAGTGGCTGAGTGTCCGACTCGCTGCATTTTCCGCTGACAGCTTCTGCGCCAGCTCACCGATGTTTGTTTTTCTTTATTTGCTCGCCGATGAGAACGTTGCATTGCGAAAGGCGTTGAGGTAGGTCTGTGTGGGGGGAGCACAATTACATCTGCATCTATTGCCGCAAACCAATATTGACCGTCCGGGCCGGGAATACCTTTTCTCTGGCCTCGAACAGCTCTGCTGGCATTGTTTTCAATTAGGCGCGGTGACACCTCAGCCCCCGGACGGCCCCTCGGGGCGCGATCGGCAATTAATCACGTTGGAGTGACCTCAGCCCGCGAATCAATCAGCGGCGCAAAAACACACTCACGCCCATCAGCGAGCGCACGGACAGTGGCCATTTAGCGGACACACCCAGCAAACAATTTTATTTCAAGTAAACAAGCAAATAAGCTAAATACGACAATGTTTTGTTTCCGAGCTCTTTGTTCGTGTTTGCCCAGCTGGAGAGGGGCTCGAAGACGACTTCCCAATGCCCAAAAAGAATTGGTGGCCAGAACCTATTTTTAGCTCGCTATTTGCCAATTCCGCCAGCCGAACGGAATGCGAGCCAAGTCGTATTGTTAAGGGGTTTTAGCCCTCTGGCTGGTTTAAGGACTTAGTACTTGAAGGTCCATCTTTTGGCACCCACATGTGACTGATTTCAAAAAAAAAGTGCGGGAAGACCTCCCATGAACTTGCCACAAAAGCCCCGACCCTAAGGCCGAGGGTACCGTTAGCGTTGCACAATTGAAAGGCAGCCAACAGGGTGGAGGGGCAGGGAAGACGGAGAAAAGTGCAGCCGAGTGTGGGCCTGACTGCATTTGTATTTATTTTGAAGCCCGGCTTGGCTGGCAGACTGCCAATCGCCCCAAAACGATCAATTGGCAGGAGACCCCCATAAAATGTTGCCAAACGCTGCTGTCTCAGTCTTCGTATCTGTCCCTGTCTCTGTCTCTGTCCGGCTGTCTTTCTGTATCTGTCTCCTTCTCAGTCTGACTGACTCTCGTTTGCACGGCTGATTTACGAGCTCGCCACGGGCCGTTGTGTAACGCATGCGATTCAGAATTTTTAAATGCCAAGCTCTGACCAGCAGAAGCGAGCCCAACCGAACTGGGACTGGGGACTGAAACCCCAAAGAGACTGAGACTGAGACCCCTTGCTGTTGCCTGGGCCTCTGGGATATTTCTGTGGCTGTCGCCAAGTCGCGAGTCGCCACGGTGCCGGCGACATTTTAATCAAAAAACTCAATCGAACGCACGCATGCGCAATAAAACAAAAATAAAATCAAACCTATAAAGCCAGCCACGGACACTCTTAAGCGTTTCACTTACCAGCCCATATATGGCCCAAAAGTCGCACATAAATAGAAATCGGCACATGCCGGCCGGCCGGCCAGGGTTCCCTTCCGTTTGATGGAAGGAAATATGTCTTCATAACCCCTGTGCGAATCTCAATTAGATGGGAGTCATGAGGGCTAAGGCATTTTCCGGGAAATGGTTTTCGGTAGGGGGTACTCTAGTCTAGGATACTTGATGGAGCATATCTGCAGACTCCAGCGACTTTTTTTGGGTTGTACTGTCTAGGCCTTATTGTAGAACCCCACTGAAGATAAATAATGGGAGCTGGGTGAGCCGGGTAGTGTGAGCCATAAATCCGAATATGTAAATAATTGCTGGCCATTTTTTTGCTCCACTGCGAAATTAATTAAAACATTCGCGCAGACACACACATGCCGAACAGAAACCGAGTTAATTCCGCTCACATGTGCGCAGCATATTGCGCAAAATTTATGACACTTTAAATGGCACACATTTGGCGGACAATTTGAGGCGATTAGCAGAAATTTTCCCGCATTCGGCTGAGGTTTTCCCCAGCCAGGCCCCATGATTTGGGTGCGCCGGGGCAGCAGCAACAGCTTTTGGCCACTTGGCGAGATTAATCAACTCCTTACTCAACTCCTCATATCTCTCCCCTTTTTCAGAGCAACTGCAGCCGGCGAGGAACCATGACAAGGCCAAGAAGTTTACCAAAACGCAGTGCAATAGCAATACAAATCAAAACAACATGACAGGCGATGTGAAGAGTGCAATTAGCACTGCAGCAGCAGCAGGAGAAGTTGGTGCATCCACAGCGGCAACACCGGCCACGGCAGCTGCGACAGCGGCAGCAACATCAGGCAACACGTCAGCCATCGCCGCTGACGCCGCGCGCTACAAATCGGGATTAAGTGATGTGGCAGCCGACGGAGACGTTGATAGTCGGCGGCCAGCTTCATCTGTGGCCCCGAGCGTTTTCAGCACCGGTTGTGCAACCATGCCCCGCACCCGCCAACACGGAAGCGCTGCTGCCACCGCGGCAGCCACATCCACATCGGGCCCGGGCGCAGAGACGACTCCATCCTGCAGCGTGACAGCTGATAAGAGCGACTTCAAACTGGCCGCGCTGGACAACCTGGACCTGGCCCACAGCCTGGACCTCCTGGACGTCGAGGGCGAGGACCCGTACGGGGCCCTCCAGGACTATTTGGAGCGTGTCAAGGTAAGTGTCTCCAACAGACTATAGTTTTGCCCCTCTTCCTCTTGTCCGAATCACCTCTTCCTCTTGTCGGTCTCTCCCCATCATTGACACCCATGTTGCATACACTGAGAGAAACACGCACCGTTTCCTGCCCCCAGCCAGTTGTCAACACGGCGTGATTTTGCAAATGATGATTTTGCGTGACAGAAAAATGTGTTGGGGCACACGAAGATGTGTAATATGTAACGCATACGCCACGTTGCACGACTGCCTTTCCTCCGGGCGGGCTGTCGTCGGCGGTCGGCGGTCGGTGGTCGGGGGGGTACATAAAATTTTATGTTTCTGTGCCGGAAAGCGCAATATTACACATCAGCGATGACGGCAACGGCCGCAGCTTAGTTTTCATTATGTTTTTCATCGCCTCCTCGGCTTGTCTTTTTCTATAACTGTTTCGCGGGAATTTTCCCCATAACCCGGCTGTTATTGTTTATGTTTATGTTTGTTTGTCGCTCATGACGGAAGCACCGCAGAAACGCACGCACGCACGCGCGGTTAGCGAGCGGTTCGTCGACGGTTCTTGTGGTCAGGGGACTAGGGAGCCCAGAAGAGACTCTCCCAGCCAAGTTCCATCTCCAGCCATCGATTTCCCGTAGAAAGCGCCAAATCTAGGGCATAACATGACCGCCATAGACCCACAACTTTATGGTTCATTTCTGCCAAGCTCAAGAGCTCACAAATCGCACGCGAATCGCCTGCAAATCGCCCCGAATCAGAGCGAGTCGTTTATAGCCGCTGATCAACTAGGATGGCTTTACGGCTCCATGCCCGGCTGTATGCAGCATTTTGTAATCAGTGTCATCACCTCAACACCCATCGACTGCCCGGCCCGCCCCCTCGCGCCTCTTTTTGGAGCAACTAGCCTGGCCCCTCTGCGTGGGCTGTCGGCTTACGGCCTGTGCGGCTATTAACGCCTTTTGCACGGCCCCTCCCCTGCTGTCCCCCCTTCTCCCCCTTCGAAATGCAACTAATTTTTTGGCCAAATTGAAATTATTAGCCGGCGACTGTGCCTAATGATGACAAAATGTGTCACAGCGCTGCCCACGCAGGTTAGGAGCTTTCTTTTGGCCTAACAAGTGGCGGAAAGGAGGGGCTCTGCTTGCGGGGAGGAAGTGGCAGTGGGGAGGGAGTGTGGCACGTCTCCTTTGTGCACATTTATTATGACAAATAGTGCAGCGTTTGGCTGGAAATTGCCGTTACTCGCTAAGGCGCTTGTTGGCGCAGCCTTAGGCTTAATTTGCTTACACTGCGAGAAAAGTGAGCTGCTTCCATGCTAAGCTCCTCAAGCTCTATATCTCGGCCTATGGCTGGTTATGTCGGCCAGTGTAGTTATGAAATGCGTTAGTGGAGGCGGTAATCACCGCCTGACCCATTTAAGACGCACCGAAACGAATCTACGGCGATGGCTTTGGCTTTGGCTTTGGTTTTGGCCAACTCGGCGGCAGGCAACCCGTTTCGAGTTTTCGCGTCGCACTTCCTGCATCAATTAGCGCTGGCTTTTGCACAGATTTTCCATAATTTTACATGGACTTGGCCAGCTCGACTGGCTGATAGGCTGAGTGGATGACTGCCTAGCCAGGTAGAGGTTTCCCGTTTAAGCGGCCATTAATTGGCGCTCGTCAGCGGGCTAAGTAAGCTTAATGCATCAATCAAGCTTTCAGCGTCAAATCGTGTATAAATATTGCCTTTTGCCATTCGAAAATCTGATAAGTCCGGGCACGGCTCGCTTTTGCGTTTGCGTGTGTTCTCAAACGATTTTAATTATAGATATTGACAAAGTGGCGATGGGAAATTGAGACGTAAGGCTGCTGCGCCCAGGGATTGTTTTGTGGTTCGATGAACCCGACTCCAGAGCTCGAAGACTGAACACTGAGGACTTCAAAATTGAAAAGTATCTTTAGCCGGGGCGGCCAATTATGCGAATGCTGTTAATGAATGTGGGCGACGACTTGCCTCTGCTTTATCTATATGGCTTTATGCAATGGAATTGTGAATGCGACTGGGACTGGGAGTCGGGACTCCCAGCAAAACGGAGCTCAGCTGCCTAGAGAAAGTTGTCTTTGCCCAATTTGCAAATGACGTTTTTTTGTCAACGTCAAACAGGCAACGGCGAACGGGCCAAAATGGCTAAAACAAATGGCAATAAAAGGCAGCGCGCCTGCCTGCACGTTACCAATTTTGTCAACCAGCCCAGCCAGGAGGAGCTCAGCTCCCACAGCAAGCCTCCAAATGGAGTCGGAGAATCACAAAATCTGAACCCAGGCATCTCGCAGTGGGAGCAGCTCCAGCTTCGAGCTTAGAGTTCGAAGAAATGCTTCAGTTCGATGAGGACTCGCAGGCTTCTTCGAGGGGGAGCGCTTCGCCAGAGGCAATCATAATTGCAGACAGCAATTAAGCCGCTGTCACAGACTGCCAGCTACTCATGCTGATCGCGTTACAATTGCAGTTACTGTTGCAATGCTGCATGTTGCAAGTTGTCAACCCCGGAGTCCGATTGCTGACAATGCGTTGATATTTTCCGACAAGCAAATCAGCAGCTACAAAGAGGCCTTGCCACAGAAACTGAGCCGGCTTGCAGGAAGCTCGCATTTGCAGTTCGTGAGACGCCTCACTTCTAGGCTGCTGCTTTCTTTCTGGCTACCAGCTTCAAAAGAGTTCTCCTCGAACAGCGAAAAAATAAGGTTACAATGTAGAGTCGTCGTAAGATTTCAGAATTCCATTCAAATGTTCGATTACGCAAGAATGCTGTTCCCGGGCTTCTGTGACAGCTTCGGAGCACTGATCCCAGACCCATCTCAAGCCATGCCCTCCAAAAAACCGCTTTCGAGAGCTGCACGTGAGGTGGAGACTCCACCGAGCACTTCAGGTGTCATTGCCTCTCTGGACGGATAGTCTGCATTCTTCTAACCCATCTCGGAATCGTACATGCATGTACACACTCTCCCCGGCATGAAGTGCCATTGAAACTATAATGATCTTCATGGGATTTTGGACCGATCGCGGACGTCGGGCTACCAAAATAACAGAGCCAAGTCCAAAAAGAGTGCGGGTATTATTTAAGCAATCTCGTGTTGTCCGACTACGACCTTCAATGGTCATTTCTGATGGAAAACAAAGCGGGCTGGAGCGACCAGTTGCTGGCCAACCAAATATTTTGACGTCAATGTCAATGTCAGAAATGGTCTGAAGTGGAAAACTTTTCTGTTCGGCGGCTTAAATCTGTGTATTTTGTTTCTGTTTTTCGATCTTTAAGGTTCACTGCTTGGCTAATAAGCTAAGCTCGCGTGATTGATGTGCGTTTCGGGGATTACACGGCCCTTGGCTTGACCTTTGCAGTCACACAGCTGCCGGTTACTGGTTTCTTATTGTGTTGCCGTTGCTGTTGTTCTACAATATCTGGGCTGCATATCTGGATGTGGCATCGACTGCCTGCCACGCCCGCCTGTCTGCAGCTGTGAGTCTGGTGGCCTCGCAAAGAGTCTAGACCCTAGACTGCGGATCGGCACAATGCTGATTGCATTCTGCGATAAATTAGCCAATGAATACAATTAAAATAGGAAGTACTTGCAGGGCAGGAAGGCGAGACCTTCGCAGCATTCATACACAGCGAAGTTTGAAACCTGTTTCTCTTCAGATCTACCTCTTGCACTACCACTTTCAGGACAGCTTGTGCACTTCGAGGAGGACTCCCCAAGGGCAATCGCCAGCAAAACGTTCGATTGGATCCGATTCTTCTCAAATCGATTGCAAACTTTAGTTTATTGTGTGCTATAGTTCTGTCTACATGAGTCGAAGAGGTGCCGGGGCGCAGAGGTGCCCCGGGGAAAACCGAATCTTCGCAAGCCCGAAAATCTCTGAAAACCGCCCGCTCGCCGCTGCCATCGCTCCCATTTACATGTCCGAATCGGGGGAATCAGTGTCCGGATTAGCGTGTGGCGATTGCGTTAATCGTATCTCGTGGCCATCGTCTGGGGCCGGAAGGGAGCGCCGGAGGCGGTGCTCCGTGTTCCAGGATGTTTTCACCTGCTGGCGCATGTTCGGGTTGCCAATGAAGCGGACATGCTGCTGGTGCAGTTGCAGTTGCAATTGTTGCTGCTGATCGGCTGACATTGATCTCGGCGAGTGCAATCTATTAGCGGGCAGTCGCCAGGGAGCGAACTCCTCCGGTGACAGTGATGGCCTGACTGATTGATCGTAGCCATTCGTTTTATGCGTTGACATTCTTTGCGGCCAGTTGCTGTCGTTGTCGTTGTCGCTGTCATCCGGCCCCTCCGCCCTGCCCTCCTGCCACCACAGCTTCCCCCCCGTAAGGTGCCGCTTGCCGCGGTTGGGCACGAACGGGTCATCGGCTTTGTAGAGGTCCCGGAGCTGCAGCTTCTTGCCGCGAGTGGCGAAGAAGGGGTCGTCCACCTGGAAGAGGTTGCGGTGCTTCTTTCCGCGGTGCGGGTAGAAGAGGTCGTCGTACTTGAACAGATCCTTGACCTTGTCCCGCTTGCCGCGGTTTGGCACGAACGGCTCGTACCGGTTCATCAAGGCGTCCAGGTCCGGAGAGTTGTGCTTGCGCCCTCGCGGCGGAATAAAAGGGTCGTTCTCCTTGCTCATCTCATCTGCAATAGGATAAAGTCTTGATCAAGAATCCCACAAAGTCTCAATCCCTAGTCCCCACTCACCGCCCCATTGGTAGCCGTCGAAGAGCTTCTCCCGGCGCACCAGGACGTACTGCGGCTCGTCCACGATTAGCGGTGGCTCAAGGTGGCCCGACAGGTTCAGCTTCTTCCAGAGAAACATGCCCGGGTAGTAGTTCTCGGCAGCCCCGTCGCTGAGGTTGCCCGGCGGACGCTGCTGGTAGGGATAGAGGAGCTGCATGGCCCAGTGCAGGAACTTGATCAGGTCCTGCTCGCCCGTCAGGAGCATGAAGACCTCGTTGTTGTCCTCCGCGTCCGCATCCTCGTCATCGTCGTCCTCCTCCACGGAGTCGGAGGCGTCCTCGGAAGAGGGGTCCTGTATGGAGCTCAGCTGCAAGTGCAGGCGGGCAAGGGCTTCTTTGTTCCTAAAAAGAGTCAGAGTGTCCACATAATGATTAATGTTCGGCCATTTATTCGGATTAAGGAGGAGCATAGCGTGGATCGGCGTGGGTAGCCAGGGCCCTGAGCTTCAATTACACGTCTTTGTCGAAGTTTCTCTTTTCCGCCAAACACACCACGACGTGGGATCCCCAGACCAAAGCCCAAGCTTGTGACCCAGATGTGTGTTCCGCCCAAACTCTTCTCTCATCCGGGCTGTCAGGGCTGATCCAGTTCAATCAAAAGTAAATTTGAGTCAATTCCCCGGAAATTGCTGTGTAAAATTACAAATTAAGCGATGAGCCGATCGAGGGCTATGCGGGCTGGGGGCCAATTAATCGGGCATTTAACAAATCAACAATAGAAACAAAACTGTGAGACTCCCAGGGACTACGAAGATGATTAATTCCAATTTAATAGCAGCCCCAATATTCAACTCGAGATAATATTCAAAATTACAAGCTGCGGAACTCGAAAAAGGAAATCTTCGGGCCTGAATGAAACGAGGGAGAGCCAAGAGCACTCTGCACTCGCCCGAATGAAAAGTGAAATTGGTAATGCAGTTTCGTTTCGATTTCGTTGCGGGCCAATGAATTTGCTGACAGTTGTTATTTTATAAAATAAATCAACATACGACTCCGCCGAGCCCCTCCTGGCTGGCTCGAAACAAAGCTGAACTCGGACCCGTCGGAGCTCGTACTGACTTTTTCACGCCCATTAATTGGTTTTGCGTGTTCCCGACCGACAGCCAAATTGTCGACGATTTGTAGCCGCTCTCCTGGGTTAATCTTATTTCATACAGACATGTATATATATTTATAAAGTATACGCATTGTTTTAGCAACTGAATGCTGAAGTCTTCGGGCAGTTACTTTCAGAGTTCAACGAGAAATCTACCGAAATATTTCGATTCAATGAGTTAAAGAGGAACTTTGGCTGATAGACCTCTTCAAACCTGAAGCGGAAACAAGGCCTGACACTTCCTCGACTGGTTCCCAAAAACCTCCAGAATCTAACCCCGATGCCTCACCTTGCTGCCAGACGGGTGCGGTAGTACTCCTGCGGACACAGGTTGTTGGGGCGACCCTGGCACCGACTGCTCCAGTATCTGTGGGTGGGTGTGGCCCGATAGCTCGCCCCCAGTCCCTCCAGTCCACCTCCCAACCCGCTTCCCGAGCCGAGTGCAATTTCCTGCGGCGCTGATTGCGGCGGCCGTGCTCCTAAATCATCTGCATTTCGATTAAAATCCTCAGACGGCTGCGGCTGCTCCACATCGGGGAGACCACTCTTGGCCGAGTCCGCGGCCGGAGGAGAGTGCAGCATATCGCGCAGAGCATCGCTGCCGCCGCCAAACAGGACGCGTGCATCCTTTTTCTGCTGCTGGTGGTGCTGGTGGCTCAAGGCCGCCTTCGTGGCCCTGGCCGTGGCTGCGGCGATAAGCGATTGTGGCAAAGATAGGACCACGTTGCTATGGCCATGCCCGCCGCCGCAATAAATCGCCAGGCAGACGCTGAGCCAGGCCAACGTGAGTCTCATGCTGTCTGCAGCGGTTCGGGTCCAGTCCTCTGTGCTTCTCCGATGCCTCCGATCTGGTGTTCCAATTTCTTCCTCGCTCCTGCCTCGGCGGCCACTTTAAAGCCAGAAAGCCAGCCTGCCAAAGGCGACCGCTGTGCTTGGACTGAAACTGAAAGTTGCTGCTGAGCCGGCCAGCTTTTTATACCCACAAGATTCTGCGGACGTGGAGGTGGAGGCGGAGGAGTAGCCCGCGGAGTTTTGGGAATACGCCTGCTGGTCCTGGTCTCCAAGATCCACATTGTTGAGCACATATGAAGCCACTGAGAAAATCATCTTTCCCACTTTGCAGTTCAATTTTATAGAAACTCTTTTAAGTACATTCGAGTAAGGGTCTATTTTTTAGGGCTAGGATTTCTTCCAGTGCTTACCACAGGAAAAGGCAAAGACGATTGTTTGTCCAAAGCGTTGTGGCGTGAAATTAATAAGCAGAATTGCATTGTAAGAAACCGAACTGGGAATTGGGGACCCAAAGCCCCATAGACCCCGTCGGTCACACGTCATAGTTGCGTCAGGATCGGGCACTGCTGACCTGTGGCTCACGCCCTCGCAACTTAGTCAGCCCGAGAACTCCCACAACATTGGCAGGGAGAAGGCTGAGTCACAGCATCCGCCTAGTTTGCGGCTTCTTCCAAGACCCAGATGCAGGAACTTCCGCCCAGAATTTATTGCCTGCTAATGGCAGATCGCATTTGTCTGGCGAAGAAACTGCAGAAGCCCAAGGAGGGCCAGCACAAGCCCAATCGTTAAGTAATGAGCCCCGCACGTTATTAATGTCACTGGGAAATTGGGCAGGGATCGGATATCGGGGATCGGACATGGCTGAAGGCTGAGGGACCGAAGGGCCTGTTCTTGTTCTGGATTTCTGGTCCACGATTTTTAATTAAGTAATTCGCTGACTTTGTGGGCCCTGTGGCCTCTCTGTCTGATCTTCCCCAGCCCCAGTGTGCTCTTTTTTGTTTAATCTGGCTAACAAATTGCTTCATTTCAATTTATTTGCATTTGTTGTCGGCAGCGAGTCGTGTTCCCTGGTAGTTCGTGGCTGCAGTTTTCTGTTTCAAGTTCCAGGTCCCAAGATCCGAGTGTGGAAAACCTTTCCGTCTGCTGTTTCTGTTTTCTGCCTTTCCGCCGCGGTCGTGTTCTAATTTATTTGTCTTTGATTGTGCCCATGTCTCCCAGGGTTGTCTCGGTCGTGTCCTGGCCTCGTTCCCTTCTTTCCTGCGCGTTCCTCCTCGGCGGGCGAATTAGGCAAGCATTCATCATAGTCGGGGGCCATTAGGATGGGCCTCTGTGGCGCTCCGGGCGCGATTAATAGACCATTGCCTTGATATATGCGCGCAATTAGAGCTCAAATCAAAACCTAATCTGGTCCCCCAAATGAATTTGTATGTCTTCTTCGCATGGCAGAACGGGTTTCCCCGAGAAAATATAACCTATGGACAAATCTCAAGAAAAACCTAACACATTTTTAATTCTCTTTGCAGAGGGAAATCAACGAGGTCTTCGAGCTGCGCAAGGTACAGCGCCTGGAGCAGCAGCTCCGGGAGCAGCTGGAGGAGCGCCTGTCCCACTCCGAGGTCCAGCAGCTGGAGGAATTGTCTCGTTCCACGGAATCAGATAGCGGCTTCGACAGCAGCAGCACCACGGCCACTGCGAAGCAACAGACCGGAGCAGCATTGTCCGCCAAACCAGTGACAACTAAGCTGAGAGCCCTGTCACCCCCGCCCTTCAGCCCCCGCTCTCCGCACACCTCGATGACCCCTCCCGCTCCCGCCCCCAACGGCGAGGACGTCAACATTTGGGCCTGCAAGTTTCTTCGCGACCTGGACAGCCTGATGGCCGACGGCAGTTCCCACCAGGCGGCCTCCGGTGAAGGCTCCCGCTCCGGTTCTGCCTGCGGTTCCGGTTCGGCGAGCAGCTCTCCCGTCTCCCGCACAGCCCCGATCCTGCTCTCCGCGGCTGCTTCCGCGGCCCTCCAAAGCCGCTACGGAAAGGGCTCGTCCGGCACGGAGCAATCAAACGGACTCGTCTTGAAACCGGAGAAGCACGTGAGTACTAAGACCAAACTAAATAGGTTAAAATATTTTTCTATCGGTGAACTATGTGACACACTTAACTATGCCAGAGAACCAGTGTCTTCATAACTGAGGCATCTCTGGCTCGGATTTCCCAAGCTAAATCGCTGGCATTCCCATGTAAGCCCCTGCCTAAATTTCGACATTCAAGCGAGCAAGTGGCAAGCACATTTTGTGAATCTGGGTTAGATAAAAGACATTTAATCTGAATCACAACAATGTTGTGAACACACACGCCCCTCGGAATAGACCTCCACCTCGAAAGCCCCGTCCCCCCTACGAGGAGGAATGTTTCCTCCAGAACGCTGCCATATGTTCCATCCCTCACCCTCCAGCCATCCATCCATCCACCCGTGCGCCGGATGCACAACTGAAGCGCGAGAAATTTATGGGGGAAGAAGCCATTTGGGAGGGGACTTGGGAGGGAGGTGCAGATGAAATCCTAGGAGCAGAGAATAGGGCCGCTGATAGACAGTCGTCACTCGGTGGCTGGCACTTGAAAGAGTTGAACTTTGAACCAATTCAGTAGATTCGAATGGGAGCATTGGCCAAACTTTATTGGAGTTAGATTCTTCGGATGGTCATAAAGTGCGTTATAAAAAGTATAATTAGTGCGGTTCTGGGGTGATGAATTGGAAGACAATTGGGGATTGATTGCCGAGCATAGTGGGTCGTAAACATGCTTCAATTACAACCCGAGCTGAAGGAGGGGGAGTCAAAGTTCGGTGGGTAAACTCCACAGATAGAAATGGCTCACAGATAGTATTTTTCTCTCTAGCCATCTGAAATCTTGGTCCAACTCTGGGCTGACCCACTTCGAGCAAACATAGTCCATAAACCACAGACCCGAAAGCGGGGAACCAACTTGTAAGCTGTCTCCGGCTTATCAGACCGAATATATCTAATTAAAACATTCATAAGCCAAACCTCCTCGTAAACGGCACTGGGCATACGAGCTACGAATGTGCTCACCTCTCGGTCCACGATTATCTGGGAAAACCTCAAAAGGCAGCAGCAGCTAGCTGGTTGCTGCAACAAGACAAATATTAATTTCCAAAACGCGTGCCGTGCCAGTGGAAAAACACGACATCTACACCGTATAGCAAACGAAACCGAAAACTTAAACCAAAATCCGAAAACCCACAAAACCGTCTACGATACGCGGTGGGTGGAGGAGGGTAGATGTATGGAGGAGTTCCAAAGATGTCGTTCTAGTTAGGAAAAAGGAAAGAGGTGGGACCAACCGAAACATGTAGCTAATTAATGCTTAATATGTCAGCGTTGTAGTTGAACTCAAACCAGGACGCACCTCACAGGAACTGCGAGCTTAAGACTTCGAATTTTTGGCACATTTTTCTGACGTTGTCAAGGGAAAAATGCGAGCTGTCATATTTTGCCTTAATCGCCCGGGTAAAAGTGGCAATTAAAAGCGCTTTTGCTGGCCCAGCTGCAGTGCACTAATTAAGGCAAGAATGTGGCCGATACACTCTCTTTCGGTCAATCAGTCAGCCAGACAGTGGGTCTGAGGGCCGCGATTTATGAGCTACCAACGGCAGCATAAATCAGAGACAAGATCGGCCTTTTTCGAGGCCACAAGTGCGTGCCCGGCTTGCCAAGAAGTCGCCGTCCAAACTGTCAATGAAAGTAAATCAGCAAAGCGGCCAAAATCAGCCCGTCGGGGGGACAGTTTTGGGCTTTCGTCTCAGTTAGTTTCGCCGTCAAGGAGTAGGGGTAGGAGTCGGAGTCGGAGACGGAGGGGGAACTGGGTCAATATGCCGCCCTGCAGCCTGATGGCAAGATGGAGGCAAGAACCAGGGTCCGTTGGGATCTTGGATCCCCAACGCACGAGGAGCTGTCAACACGGCAAACCACGCAGAACCCGAAACGCCCCAATTTTGCAGAGACTCGTTTTCAGTTTTTCCCTGCGAAAGTGAATCTTGTGGAGCAGGCAGCTTCGAGTGTGTGTGGTAGAGGCATCATCGTCCGCCACAACAGCCAATGCAACCGCTTAATGATGATGAACCGAGCAGATGCTGCGGAAGATGTTTAAGATACACAGCTGGGAGCACTGAGAACAACAATAAAGCCAGTTTTGTGCTCAAATGCCTCGTATTATTGTTTACCTCTTCGCTGAATCGCAGTTTGGCTCAGTGATGGAGGGGCCAGCCAGAAAGGCCACGACTCACAAAAAGCTCTTCACGCAGCTCAACGAGCTCCGACACTCTGACTTAAGTAGAACTTGCAAATCACTGCAAGGCAAACAAACACGACGGACGACCAAACAGGCCGATGGGTCTGGATGGGGAGCAGGGAATCTGATCGAAAAGGAACAATGTCCGGACTCTGGAGAGGACAACGATGGGCTGGGCAGGCGTTTAAGTGTTTTGATTTGATAATTATTATCAGTGGGCATGCGTGACCGCGGGCAGATCGCTCACTCGCCCATTTGCAGGCCCATTCAGGGCCATGTCCAATCGATTGGGAATAGTCCGGGGTCTGCCTCGCAGGGGCATGCCTCTTCAGCTGACTCTTACGGGGAACTTTCTGGGTCACATATCAATAAAAGTGGAACGGCGAGGCGTTGGGCAGTGCATTTGTCATTAAACTTTTGATACGAGTATCGCTATCCCACATATGCGTATGGAGTATACCATACATATATTTTTTAGATTTCTTGCGCCCTGTTTTTATGATCAATTAGGAGCATTTACAGTTCCCCCAACATTCCTGATAACCCTGCGGCAACCCAGGGCATCCAAATATTTTATGTGCCGCTTTGTGTTTATTTTATTGCATTTTCTATTAACTAACCGAAGAAAACATTTCATTTAATTTCCATTCCAACTCATTCTCCGCTTGTTGTGAGAAATGTTCACTTTTTACGACATTTAAATAAGTCTTTGTCAGCGATTCGGATATCGAATTCTACTGCCGGCCATTAATTTGGTTCGGACTTCCCCCTCCATGCTCCAACTTTAATCGCCACAGAGCCCGAAAAGAGGGAGAATCGTAGGAATTGCTTACATATGTTAACCAGATTGGATGCAGCGCCGAGAATTTTATGGCTGCCCCGATAAGATCGCCAAATTAATCGAGCGAGCTGATCTCCCGACGACAGCCGGCCGTAAAATGGTAAAAGTTTTGATTCGCTCTGCCAAGAGCCAGCCGAAATCGATCTAAATCGGGCTGCAATCTAACTCTAGGGTCATATGAGGTATATATATGGCTGTGGCGCCTCTCGAATCGGGCGCACGATTCGCGGCCATGCCCGTAAACGACAGTGATCCGGATGCCCAATTAATGCGTCGCCGGCGAGAGTTGGCGGCTCATTAACACGCAGTTCGGTCAGATGGCATCGCCATTGGCTTTATTAATAATTCATAGACGCGCAACCGCCATGGAACTGCCGTAACTGGCGGGCGCTCGAGGAGACTGCTCCATAATGCATTACAAATTCGATTTCAAAACAGCACACATCTGTTGCGTCCCACAGGACCTCGCTGCCATCCGCATCCTGTGACCATTTTTGGACAGGCGTCGTCTGGGCGGGTTTCTTCATTACCTGTTACTCGGCCCAACCGAGAAAAAAACAAGGCCCAACCGAGAGCTACCAATATTTTCCAATAATTACATGACTATCTCGATTTGAATTCCCAAATAATTGCTTGTAAGGTCCAGGGATTCATAATTAATTCAAAAGCAGAACCCATTTTGTATTGATTCCTTTCGGGAACCAGAACCGGAGGCATCTCCAATCCAACTGGCGATACACTTTTTGCGCCAGCCACTTCGCAGGCCAGAAATTCGCCCAAGGCCCCGGAGGAACCGAGTCCCCAGACAGAACCCCAGCAGAAGCTGCCGCCACAGAAACCTGCAGCTCTGGGTTTCCCGGTTCCAGGCCTCCTCCCGGGCCCGCAGGTCCCAGCCCCGCCATACACACATTTTTTCGCCGATAAATCATTTAAATCAATTTCCGCCCGTGCTCGCTCCTCGCACTCTTCTGTAATGCACTTTGGCTGCTGCCAAATGAGAAAACCAAATTGTCAAACGCTCGCCAAAGGCTTGTAAATCGAATTGACATAACGCAGTTATCCCTGATGGAGCCTGGCCGGGAATATAGACATGCATCCGCGGCCAGTACGATTCTCGGAATGGAGCGGCTGTGTTATCACAGGCGGCTTATAAATCATATGCAGAAACAATAGGGGAAGCATCTTGGATTTCTTGTATGCTAAATAGCAGGCCTCGGCTTTGGAAAGCCGATTCTTAAACACTCTTCTACGAGTACTAGCTTTTGTTGGTCTAAGCCACATCATTTTGGCTCGAAAGTCCTTTCTCACGATAGGGTATGGAAGCCTGTTCTCCGGCTTGACCAAACGATTTGCATAAAGTACGAAAATTCCTGCGCGGCTCGACGTCCCACTTGACAATGTCTAAAAATTCCGCTGATGCTTCCTTTTTGGCATTGTCTCCCGACAAAGTGGCTTGGATGCCGACGTTCATTATGCATTCAAGGTCCTTTCCCGGCTGGAGGAGGAGGCTGAGGTGGAGAGGCCGCCACCGATGCTGCGACAGCCCTCGCAACTGTCAGCGGAACTCAGTGTCGAGTTTACTTTATTAAACCTGACTGACTATATTTTAATAAGTTACTCGTTCCTCCTTCTCCTGCACTCGAATAAACAATTGCCAAAACATTCTAAATATAAGGTATTAGACATTTTAGTTTTAAGCAGCTAAGGCCCTCTTGTAGATTTCTAAGGAGGTTTTAACTCGCAGAATAATACACAAATTTTTCAAGTGCATCTCTTCTCCCTTTCAGGCCACCATTCCACTGCAGTCGTTTAACCTTGATTGCGGACGCAGCGAGGCAGCCAAATCGAATGTTGCCTACATGCGCACCCTGTCGGCGCCGAACGGCCACCAGGGAGGGGCCTCGCCCCTGCCCCCCCAGCGCAAGAGCCTGGCCGCCTGCCCGCCGTTTAATGGCCAAACACAGACGATAACTGCGACATCGACACCATCGACAACAACTCATAAGCTGACAAATTTGCAAGGCGCACTGAAAATCGAGGAGATGTCTGCAACAGGTGGAGCTCCACCGGCGACCACCGTCGAGGACCCGAAGCCCAGGCGGCAGCGAAAACTGAGCAGTGGCGACGTGGACACAATGCTTCCACTGGCCACCACCTCCCCCTCCGTCTCCCAGCCGATGTCGATGCCAAAACGGGTGGGCATTAATCACATGGCTCTGACGAGCAGAAACGCGATAACCCCGCCCCCTGCGACGGCACCCGCCTCCCCCGCCGCCTCGTCGCAGTCGCAGCAATCTCAGCAGTCGGCAGCCTCCTCGGCCAGCTCAGGGAAGGGTGGGGCTGCGCCCGGCTACCTAGTGGATGTGACCAAAAAAGGATCCACCTCGACCATCTGGACCTCCGAGGAGTCGATTCTGCGCAGCGTTGGCGCCGTCGATGAAGACAACAAGTGAGTATCGCTTTTCCACCTCCAATCACGGGTACCTAATTATGTTCCTCTTCCAGCTCGACTTCGTCCTCCTCGGCCTGCGAAGAGGCCACGGGAGTCCTGAGCTCTGGAAAGTCGGGCATATCGCTGGACTCCTCCGGGCTGGATAACGACAACAACGAGAGCGGCATTGGTACGGCCACGCCACCCAAGGACATGTCCTTCTGGAAGAACCACCACCTGCAGCACCACCATCACCACAGGGCTGGAGGAAGCGCCCAGGATAACGAGTCCGTGAGCAGTCTGGAGGCGCTGCGCAAGATGAAGTTCAAGAAGAGCGGGTCCGTGGCCTCCTCTGACGATCCAGATCTGCTGGAGGTCCTGAGCCAGTGCGGCAGTGGAGGGGAAGCGGCGAACGAGTCGCAGGATGACATGCTGGACGAGGAGAAGGACAGCAAGTCGTCCAAGTCCAGGGACTACGAAGAGTGTCATGGCGAGTTTGGGATCTGCGAGTGCGACTGCACGGATGGAGACGCAAGCAGTGCTAGCGGAGGAGGCGGCGTCACTGCCACGCCCGTGGTGCTTCGCCGCAAATACGTGGCGCCTCCACCCATCCTGGTGCCGAGAACCCAGCGAAGCCACTCCCTGGACCACTACCAGCCGGGTGTGCAGCTGCGTAGGGTGCTGCCCATCCACCACCACCACCACCACGCCATGAAGAACAAGGAGCGGGGGCAGCTGTCGCTGGCCCTGCGACAGGAACCCTTCCAGGCCCTGCTCTCTCCATCGGCGAATCCCGGCCAGCAGCTGCACCAGTTCGTGGAGCTGCCCTCGCCCAGCAGCGCCTCGCTGAACAGCGGCTTGGGGGACTCTGGCGGCATCCAGGAGCTGACCACCAAATCCAATTCGGCGCCTCTTCTGCTGAAGGAGCGGGAGTTGAGTCGTCGATTCGATGACTTTGCCGCCCAGAACTTGGTAAGAGACGACCTCCCTATATCAGAATAAAATTAAGTTATGATATTTAAAAAAAAAGAAAAGACTCATAATTTTAAAGTATAGAGGCACTATAAGCTGTCGAAGAGCAAACCAGTTTTAAGATACAAATTACTGCAGCCTTTAAAGAGAAACGTACTTCATTTATATCGCCTGTTCTTTTTTAACCTTGTAATATTCTTGAAAGCACAATCCGCTTATGGATCCTGTCATTTATCCACCCGCCCTCGCTCAACTTGAATCCCAGACATTAATGGACCTCCTTTACCATTTTTTCTCCCACAGACGCTGCGCTATTCTCGTTCCCAGAGTGATCGCTACTTAGCAGGTGAGTTCTTTTTAGTAAAGAAACCAGAAGAAGCCAGGAGAAGCCGGGCTAAATGAGTTATTTAAATGGCCCGAACCGGACAGACCGGGCAGGGGCATCAAGGCTGAATGTCTGATTTGATTCGCCGGTGGTCCTGCCGACCAATTAGCGGCCTGTTATTAAGCCTGAGTGGTTTATAATAACAGCGTACTGGGGCATGATTCATTATTTCAATAATTAGGAGCTCCGACCTGATCTAGTCGGGCGGATGGGGCGAGTTGGGTTGGGATCCGCGAATCCTAGGGCCCATGAAAAGGCATACACATGCATTGTTTGGTTGCCAAATCAATTTCCAACTTTTGCTTTCATTCCGGATTTCGGGCGAACAATTGAGTCAATCAGAGGGCCGGCCGCCGCTTAAATTACTTTCATGTTCTTCGGCCAGCTACAGGAATATCATCAAGAGCAGCGCCTCTTTTTGCGAGCATCCAGCACTTCCGTCAACACTCCAACACAAATGGCACAGTTCCAGGCCCAAACCCCAACCGAAAATGGCTGTCAATCTGTCAATTGCGACGCCACACATCGAGGGCCAGGCAAACAGTCAGAAAAAAGCAATCCAGAGCTGCTTAGTTTGAATAATTGTGTCTGTTTATGGTCTGTGCCCTTGGGCTTCAGTCAGCACAGTCTTTAGCTTTAAATCGTTTATACAATTGAGATAGAACCTCTGCCAGCTCGAAGGCAACACGACTTTTTCCGCTGTGTACTCCGACCACATATCTGGCCTCACACTGGCAGCCTCTTGTCCTGATGAGGACGGCAATGACACTCGCTGGGCTAAAAACGGCGCACAAATGAACGGGAGAACCAAATTGAATCACAAACTGGCCGCCAAGTGCACTCGACTGGCGGACTGGCGGACTGGCTGTTCTGGAGCCCGTCCGATTTCGTTTTGCAGCATGAGTGCCCCACGAATTATGCACATACAAAGCAGCAGTGACGTCAGCGAGGAGGCGCCTCCCCGATGGTCATTTTCTGGCCATTATTTCGGAGTGTTTGCTAGCCATTTCCTGGCGTTTCGCTCTGACGTCATTACAGTGACGTCTTGGCTGGCCGATGCTTGGAAAGGTCGCTCTTGATTGAGGAACGTGCAACACTTGTTTCGCAGTGTCAGCCCAGTGGGGGCCTCAAATACGGCATGCCTCGTGGTTCATGCCTAATATTTCATAAAACATTCGCATTTATATTTTGTTTGGCCTCCGCAGAGAAAGCTGGAGTAGATTAATGAGAAATAACGAAGCAGCGACAGCTGTGATTCCCGCCCATTATTCTCCTGTTTGCCCAACTAATCGGACCAGCACATCCACTGAACATGTCTATAGGGGCAGCTTGTGTCCGACTCGAAGCTGTGGAGACAAGCCGATTGCAGTTGACCAGAACAATGCGCTTGCACTTGTTCGATTATAGCCGCTCCTCCCCGGGCAAATAAGAGCCGCACTTCGGCATAATGGTAATGTTAAACAAATGCACGGCTGAATCATCAGAGCTCCCTCAAAGACAATGGCGTCGTTTATTCAACTTCTCCATAAATCATAAAACAAAACGCTTAACCTTGGCACACACAGCCGCACGTCGCACGGACATATCTGTGCCACACACACCCACCCACTCCCACTCTCACTCCCACACCCACCGGAGCAACAGGTGCGGTTGGCCGGGGCCTGGAAACTTTCACATGCCAAGGTATAAATTTTAATGAACGGCATGCCCCATAAAGGGAAACTAAACATAAGCTTACACATCCCGACGAGTCCTTTTTGCGAACATGGAAATGGAATAAGCATCATCAACATGACAGTTATTCATTTATTTATTTATTTGTTTGCCTGCCTGGCTGTGTGTGGGCCTCGGGCACTTGCCGTTCGTGGCCACGTTGGCCCTGGCCAACTAACCACAGAAAATAATAAGCGATTGTGGCGCCGATAACTCAGCAACATGGCCAGGATGTTGCCCTTTCCCTACCCTCCCAGGCCCCAATCCTCATGCCCTGCCATTTTAGGGCTGAACAATACCTTTGGCCCTTCAAGAAGCCGGAGGAGGAGCAGCAGCCTCTGACAGCGAGCATCCATGTTGCTCATACGCCCCGTTGTTCGGTGTTCTCTATTCGGCTTTCAGTTTCCTTCGTTCCGGGCCGTCGGCAGTCGGTTGCCATTTTCCGAACGAAGCCAGCGCGCTGGCAAATTCATTAGTGCTCTTACAGGCGCCGTGCACGGTTGTTGTCGATTTCCCGTGGCCGCAGCGAGTGAGGAACTCGGGTGGAGCGCGTCGACGCCACCGACTTGAAACGGAATTCTAAAAAATCATAAATTATTCAAAGAATCAAACCAAAAGAAGAAATCCCTCTCTAGAAGACGCGTGTGACTAGTGCATTGTGTGTCTTGAAAATGGGAAACACTACCAAGTAGAGTGGTCTCGCAAACAAGTTAGAAGTTGATCGTTTCTTTTTGTTGCCACACTCGGAGTTACCGCAGCAAGTGTCCAAAACGGCGCTGCCAAAGCTAGCCAATATGCAGCGTCGCATGTCCGTCACGATCCGCGAATACAAGTTCTTCCGGAGCTTCTCGCAGAAGTTCGAGAACTGGCCGAAACGCAAGGCCGAGGCGCTATGGCGGAAAATGCGGGAACGCAAGATTGCAGGTGAGAGGGACCAGGATACCTGGCAGGAGATACACTGCCAATCAAGGGCTGTAAACTGGTCTACTTTATGGCCAATAGACTTCAAGGGCGAAACTGTTTTGGGCCGCTGGCGAATTATTAAAAAATTTGTATACAATTATGGGAATATGCTCGTCTGGATCGGCTGGGTATTTTGGGCAGGAATGCGCGCGCGCCACTCGCACACCCCACAAATCGCTTGTTTATTGTTTTTCCGCACCCCTGGGGGGGCTACCGCCCACCCACCGATCTCCCACCACAGATCCCGCCGTCTATTTTTGGCCGTGAGTACGGGGGCACCGCTATTTCCAGTGCACAGCTTGGACTTATCAGTCAGCGCCACGCATTTGAATCGAATTATTCATGGCGGGGTGCTGGAATATGTGTATCAGTTTGGGAATGGGGTTGCAACAAGAGGGGTGGACCTGCCACCTGCATATGCACTCAGATCCTCCTGGAATCACCCTTCCTCACAACCTCCATTCCAGGCAAAGACTCTCATTTAAATAAAGAAAATGGCCTGCGTGTGGCAGTAAATGGAGGAGATTATTTAACCATTAATATGTTTACCCGTAAACGGATAAAAACATGCCGAGTGGGCTTGCTTTTTATAGGTGTATCTACCCCCTCGCTTCGTGCCCCAAAATATTCGAGGCGCTTAAATTGTAAACAACATTAAGTGGCCAATTGGAAAAGCGTTTTATGGCCAAGATATGCGAACGGGGAAGCGTGCCTGGCTGCCCTTCTTCTAACCTGCCTGCTCGAATGGGATTAAAACTTTTGAGGAGCTCGGGCCAAGTCAGCAACCACCTGTAAGCTTCTTGGAGAGTGGAATCTTTCCATTCTATTCCTGTTGATTATATTTTTGGCGAAAAAGATGTGCTCTTTGACCAAGTACTGACATTAAAAAGGCATTAAGAGCTCAGCGATCTGCTATATTTGGCAGAGGGACTCCCAGGGGAGTGCTACAGTGTAGAAGTAGTACTTCTGCCCTTAATTACATGTCGGTTGCGAAGCTAACCGTGTTTGCCGAAGGCGCAGGGCGGTCCCCACCCATCGCCGAGTTCACAGCAAATTAAACTGACGTCCCACCACTTGTTGCACCCACTCCAGTTGCCACGGAGCATCTGCCACACTCCCTGGCCCGGCCCCTCTATAAATAGCCTGATCCTTTCGCAGGCTTCCAGCAGGCCTTTGTGCCCACTGAGGAGGAAAGGAGTGTGCACATATCTATTAATACTGGGTCGGGGTGCCCCTCCGTGGAAACTCTGTTTCAAAGACGGGCCAAAAATTACAAGTTCAAGTATGTGAATAGCTTTTCGCTGCTATTTCTGGTTACAGTTTATAATTAATAATCAGCTCTGCCAGCCCCAAGGTAATGTGCCAGAGCCAGAGGCGACTGAAATTTATGTTCCGCCTGACATTTAAAAGCAGTGGCAGACAATAAAGCTTCGGAGGCCAGGCCAGGCTGCAGGAGCAGAGAGCAGAGCAATTAATTAATGCCAAGACACCTACGACAATCGTTGAAATATGCGGCTAATGCTGCTGGCTCAGGGAAGTCCATTCGGTTGGCCCCACATTTGCATTTGCGACAGTCACTGCCGCAAATGCATTGTTTTCCGCGCGGCTCCTGGGGCGCTGCAATTTGGTGTTTATATGGCAGCATAATTGGCATATGAACCGTTTAGCGGCAAAATTATTGGAAACTGCTGAATAATGCCTCGGTTGCCCGGCAGCAATTGAATTAACTATCAATTAGTGTCTCGTAACAGCCAAATTCGATTTTCGCTTCCAATATGTCCGACTAAAATGCGGAGGCAAATATTTTGGGAACTCAATTAGGCTGGATTCCAGTTTTTTGCTCTGCGGAGAGCTCAAGGACTGCCAACAGTTGACGAAACGGATACAAGTCCTTGATAGAACCGAGGCGGTGTGTGTGCCGGATTCCATCATCCGCACACATTGTCATCTCGCTCGCTTGGCTGCATTTTTCTGGAGCACACTCGCAGGATACAAAAGCCAGAAGCGTGTCACTAACACGCACGCACACCACTCTGACTGGCGAAGGACGAGAGTCTAACGGCAACTGTGCCAGGAACTCTGCTTTCATTGGCACTTTACCCGCAGAGCCGGAAAACAGAGAGCTATGTACCACGACGCATTGAGGTGCCTGCGAGTGGGTGGTCTCGGAATCAATGCAAATTTTAATTGAAAACTTAAACAAATTTAGGCGCAAGTACGAGTCAGAGAAACAAAGGAAGGCCCTAATGGCATTATCCTGACCCCTTCCAGCTTTTCAATTAAAGTCTTCCTTTAAAGAAGGTCCTCCTAGGTTCGAATTACTTGATGCTTTAAAAGCCAAACTTCATACGCAGGACTCTGGGGAATGTCTTTATGTTAAACGCCTAATGGAGCGCTTCCATGGCATTTCGGATATTTTTTAATTAGCCTTAAGGTCAGCCAGGAATTCCGATCCGCAGCGCCTCGTGTTCCACACGCCCCGCCCACACCCACTGGCTCCCACACACTGGCAAACACACATTGTCCGGGCCGGGTCCATCAGAATAATTATTATCCTGGGCGCAGGTGAAGTTCATGAATTTACGCGTCGCTTGTTCGGAAATGTTTTACCGGCCTCAGTGGCGAGGGGCAAGGGAGGGAGAGGGGACAAAGGACAATAAGGACAACAACTGGGCGGCACTACGAGGGCGTGTGTGTGAGCTTGGGTGGGCGAACAAGAACAAATATTGAACCTGACGCAATAAGCTGCGAGGAGCCCCACACACAGGGCATTACTCGCTTTAAATGGCTTTTAGATGAGATCCAGTTTAGTCTTCCACGTCAACGCAGTTTAAAGTGGCATTTGCGGGAAAATTAATATTTTTCTGCAGGCCTGACGCAGGTCAGGGCCTACATGCACATTTGTGAACTGTGTCTCTGTACTTGGCAGTGATTGTCCTTATCAGGTCGATGGGTCAGGTACCGTCAAGTATCTCTAACCGGAACACCCTGGCAGCTGGCCTGCTGCCAAGATCCGCTCAAAACTCGAAGCGTGTCAGGCATCCGGACTAGGACTCAGGAGTCCTGAGTGGCTAGCGACGGCTGTCAGGGTGCCAGCAGCATAAATCGATGTCCAAAGGGTTGCTCTCGTTTGTAAATTTATAAATAAATGCCAGGACGGCAGAGCGAAGGAGTGGAGACGAGGCAGGTGCCCCGAGTTCCGCCTCAGTGACGGCCGGCGGCCCCTTACTTTTCCAGAGTCCTGCTCGTGCAAGTTAATCGCTTGCAAAACTCAATAATAATTCACTCAGCCCGGCCACCCCTCGCTCCTCAACCCTGCCGGCAGTAAGCAGCCGGAAACTGTTTCATGTTGTCGCTCAGGTTGATTAAAAATCAATAGCCCCGTCGCCAGATCCCAGATCCAGTTGCTCGAGCTGAGACGCCAGATTAGCATTTAAAATAGCTGAGGCCAAGAGGCAGCTTTCCTTTGCCACAAATTGGTTTGTTGCCAAGCTGAGTCGCTGAGTCGCCGAATCGCTGCCTTTGTTTCAGCTCAGACGAGCTGGAATTCGATTTGGATTCATTCTGGATTTAGAGACTCGTAAAAAATATGACTTGCTCGTACATTTATTATCTGCGGTTCATTGCGTCCTTTGTATCGCGTCCTTTGTGGCGCGTCCTTTGCATCGCAAATTAGCCCAACATAAATAAGCAATTTAATCTGGCTTAGCTTCCCACATTTGTCTTCGCTCCCAATGACCCATTGTCTCTGTCGGCACTTGCATTCCAACGCTCCCGACCATTTCACTTTCAGGAGTGCGATTCCCCGAAAGGGTCTTCCAAACTTTTACTTTCGAGTGGCTTCGCAGCTCCAGCTGGAGTTGGCGAAACCCTTTAGGGTCATGTCATTAAAGAGCTGGACACTTGAGCTTGTCAGTTTACAACGTAATCCATCTCGTTGAGCATGCGAAGTGTGCGAACAAAGGCCTCCAAAACTGAGTCTTCGCTGGCCGCTTAATTGCTTTTGCGGGCCGCGGCGATTGAATTTGGTCCGGCAAAAAGGATTTGCAACTCAACTCAATTACTATTAATTTCATTCGCTGCCAGTGCGGCGTATGCGCAATATTGAAACGCATTCTCACCCCCTTCTCACCCCTCTATCTTTCTTGCAGAAATCGAAGCTGTGGAGGCCTGCAAATGGCTGCGGGCGGCAGGTTTCCCCCAGTACGCCCAGATGTACGAAGGTAAGTGCGACCCCACTCCTAGGTGCATCACCTCGACTCCTAGGAGCACATATTTTAATAAAGACCAGTGCTCGGCCACACACTTCCGCCTCGTGGAAGTGGGGCACTGAAAAAAATGTTCTACAAGGGTAAGCGGTATGGAAGTATTACTCCTCCATCTCAAATGACTTTATAACAAAGTCATAGATATATCACATCATTCTTCCCCAATTAGTAAAACAAAAGCTTGAATGAGGAATGGAGAGTCACCATTCATATGATTTTTTGAAACAAAACCTAGAAAGAACCCCCTGGTTTTCCAGTGCATGTCGTGTCAGCATGCTCCTGCCCTGGGGGCGTGGCAGGCAGCCCGTAATTGTTGGCCTCGTCATCGCAGTGACGCAGCAAGGCACTTGCCCGACTGGCCCGCCATTTAGTCTTGTGTGTTTAAGGCTCGCCAAGTGGCGGTTTATTAATTGTATTACACAAACTTTCACTTTCAACGCGCCGGGCCACTCCGGCAAAAAAACAGAAATGTGTACAGAAGAAAAACAAAGCCATTTGTGACGTGGCAATATTCGAGAACACTTTAAGTGCCGCCTCACGATGCCCACGGATTTCGACACCAGTTCACACAAAGGCCTCGCCGGGACATGATAGGCAACTCGATATCCCAAACACGCGCTCCTGCGCCGCGACAACAATTAGGCTGAATGGATCCGATCTGGGCCCGAATCCTTTCAGGGAATTCGAAATCGAAAGCCAAGCAGCACGCCTTCCCTTCAGATCGGGGCAATCTCAAGAATTTAACCCAAAGCCAAAAAAAAAAAACAGGGGGCAGATAAAGTATAATAAAAGGCTAAAGGACACGCAGGCCGCTGGAATTTATGAGGACCACCTCCGTACAAAAACACCACACAGAACCGAAAATTAAAATGGTTTTCGGTTTTTTCGGCTTCGTTCTTCTCATTTCTTTGCTGGTCAGGAAAGGGCTTTGGCCTTTGAAGAGGGCTACCTAAGTGTTGGGATGAGTTCATTGAACTCCACGCAAGCTGCATATTTATTTGATTCCTTAATCGCGAAGAGCGACGGCCCGACTCCTGTCTCTTCCGCGGAGCATTTGTCGCATCGCATTTAACGGCTGAAGGCCGCGCAGATTGATAATCCCCGAAATCCACAAGCCCAAGCCCCAGTCTCAAAGCCCCGAAGAGCTGAAGAGCATTCTTGGGCTGGGACTGGCTTCATTTGAATTATGGCCAACTGGCAACTGCGAAGGCAAAAAGTGAATCTGAAACGGAGAGCCTGCAATTTGGGCAAGTCCGCAGGCGCCCGTCGCCGACCTTGAAATATGCGAATTGTATTGCATAAATTCACGACCAGAACCGAGCTTGTGTCTTCGGCCTACACTGCACGAGTTTTTAAAGAGCCACTCAGCTTAGACTCAGTTGAAACCTTCATTTTTAGAGGAGTATCATGAACAAACCAATATTTTCTTGAAGTGATGAAAATAATGCCCCGAGTTCTTGGATTGCGGAATAATTTGTGCACACATTTAAACTGGAGCCCAACCCAGTCCCGAATCCCAGCCGAATCCCAATCCCATCTGCATGGCCATCTACCATCCGGCATGCCATCCCCTGACCGGGGACAACATGATAAATGCGTATTTTAATGAGTTTCGTGTAAACAAGGCAGCGGCACATGCGCAGATTGCTGCTCAAATTTCTTCGGCGTTTGGAGCTCTGCTGGGCCGATTCTATATTTCGGGGCCTGGGCTCTGGAAATTAAAACGCCGTAGGTGTGTAAGCTCCGTTGCTCTGTCATTTGGACTCGCTCCGAGCCCTGCAACTGGCTCCGCTGAAAGGAGGTGTTCCGGCTGTAAGCGACTGTTAATTTGCTCAAGGAGAGCCCCCAGCCCACGGCCGAGGGCCCAGAGGAACCCCTTTGTTTGCCTTTTGTTCATTTCTGGGCACATTACTCACCGAAAGTGGCAGACTTAATTCGAGGGTGTGACCTGCGCCAGCCAGGATCACATGGGAGTGCTTAAGAGGGCAATAAGAGCTCATGAGCCCTGCGATCGATTTTTTGTCCGGTTGTCCGTGGGAACCGGTTTCTTCAGGTCCCAACCGAAAGGAGCTTACAATACCCATACCCGCTCTGCAATAAAGTACTGCCGATCAGTATTTGTCAATTCTGATCACCCAAAATTGTTTCACTCCGCCTGGTACTTCATAAAAATTTCAATCAGAGTCCGAGAAATAATTATTCCGCGATCAGTTCCATGGTGTAATTTTCCAATAAAGTTTTTATATTCGTGTGAAATTTGGATCCTAATTTAGATTCCAGGCTAATTGCTTCTATATTTTCCCAAAAACAGCCATAAATTGTGCCTAATTACATTCCCATTTCTCTGCGATCTGCGTCATTGGCCGCGGCCGAGGAAAAAGATTAATCATATAATTGGGCCAATAAATGGGCAGCAGCTCTCCTCTGTAAACTGTGAAGGCCCGCGAAGAAAAGGCCGACCACAAATTACAGCAGCAGGTCCCAAATATTTTAGACTCTGACGTCAAAACTCCTTCGCCGGAATTGGGTCTCCGATTGGCCGAATTGTTTACATTTCCCCCAGTGGCACCAAAGTGCATTCAATTAGAAACCAAACACACAAAACTACAATCACTTTGCCAGTCTTAAGAGGAGCCTCCTTACGGACACGCAGCAGGGCCAAGAGCGCCAAAGAAAAGCGCCGGAGGAGCGTAAACAAAACTATAAAAAGCTCCCAGTTCCCAGCTCCCAGCTCCCAACTCCATCTTGCAGATGTCTGAAAGGAGCCAAGAACAAGAACAAGTTGCGGCTGAGGGGCGTTACTTTCAGCGGAAAGTTCAACAAACCATGAATGGCTTTTCGAGGAGAACAAAATATTGTTGTAATGCTAACAATATTTGTCCAAACAATAACGCGGCAGCGGCTTTTCCAGGCTGTGCATCCTACGGATTCGTATCCGAGGCCTCAGATGCAGCTGTATCTGTGAATGTGAAATGTATCTGCATCGCAGTATCAGCTTCGGCTACGCGTCGCGACATGTGTAAACGTCTGGGTATAATCTTTTTATTTTCTTGATATTGCCGAGGCGGTCGCCTTGCAACTAGATTTCCTACGTGCCACGCAAATATGTGGAAAACGCTGTGAAAATTCGATGCCCGATGGCAGACTACTGCATATGGGTACATACATAGATACATATATTCGAAGCCAGCCGACTCACTAGTACCCGTTTAATGGTCGCTGCTGGCGCCATGGGCGTTCGACTTTTCGCGTTTCTCAATTAGAATTTCACGCGTCGTCGAAGCGTGCGGTCGCAATAAGCCATACTGGAGCTAACCGATATCCTTTTCCCTGCCTTTTTTCACGTTGCAGATCATCAGTTCCCGATCGAACTGAACAATGTAGCCAAAGATCACACCAACCTCGAGAACGATCAGCTGCAGTCCCTCTTCCGCCGGCTCTGCGTCCTCAATCGTTGCGCCACCATGCGGCTGGACCAGTCCCACAAGCCGCAGACACCACAGGTAAGATTGCCTCCCCATGACTATATAACTGTAGTACAACCCCCTGATGAATCCAAACTGACTGTAAGATGTAAATTACGATTTGAAGTTGGAAAAACATAACCGCAATCATAACACCTAATCATAAGTCCTTTGTCCAATCAGTTTGAATCATAATGAGTAACCTTTCCCATATTTAATCATTCACCCATTGAAACATTTGCTCCAATATTCATTAAGTCGTTGGAACAGTAAGATCCCAGTCCCGTAGCTCTGTAAGCTCTATATAAGCAATAGTCTCAATGGTTTCTTCCAATATTTTCGAACTCCAGAAGGAGGAATCCGATGATGAAAACTTCGCACTCAGCGAGAACTGGACATTCCAACCTCACATCCGCCGCTGGTCGAGGATCGGGGAGATGGGCCTAGAGCTGCCGCCACCGGGGCACCTTAGCCTGAACGTGGAGAAGACGGAGAGCTCCTCAAAGGAGTCGAGCCCCGACCGCTTCGAGGACGATGGTGCAGGGATAACGCTCATGATTCCCGGCTGCAGCAAGTCCAGCGGCATGGGAGGGGCGGCCACCGACGGCTCCGGATCGCTGGGAGATGGCTCCGACGGTGGTCACCTAAGGCGGTCTGGTAGTGAGCGGTTCAAGGAAGGAGCCAAGGCACTACTGCGCCGCGTTGAGTCCATCAAGTCCCGGAGGCGCAAGCGTCAGAACCGCGAGAACGTGGTGATCAGCGGGCCGCAGGTCCTGGATCTCGCCCAGCTGGGCCACAGGAGTGGTCTGCGCAAGCCCGATGCCGTCTACTCCACCCCGCCCTCCCCCTCAGCCCTCAGCCCCATGCACACATTCCCCAAGGCGCCCTTCTTCGGCAACGAGCTGAAGGTGCCTAGCCACAGCGACAACTTCCTGAGTCCCAACAGGGCCAGTCCGAAGCGCACGCCCACCACCCCTCGCTCGATGCGCACCAGCCCGCTGCACTTCTTCTCCAGCCCCATGTCCCAGCTGAAGGAGGGCAAGTCGGACGACTCCTCGTCTTACTACAGCGACAGCCAGGAGTCCTCGACAGGAGGCAAGCTCTCGCTGCGGAAGCCCTCCAAGGCGCGCCGCTTCCTACAGCGCTCCGGAAAGGTGGATGACATCGGGGCACACTCCGATTCCGAGTGCCACCAAGGGCGGAAGCTCCTCATCAAGGACGCCAACTCAAACACCACTGAGGTGAAGGTCAAGAAGCTCACCAGGGGCGGATCCCTGAACCTGGGAAAGGACCCAAAGAAGCGCGAGGGCTTCCGCTCTTCGTCCTTCCGCTCCCGCAGCACATCGCGAAAGGAGGCGAAGAACGACGAGGATCAGGCGGGAGCGAGCGCGGCCAATGGCTCAAAAAGGCAGCCCGTGGTGCGCTGGCACAGCTTCCAGATGGAAGAGCGCCCGAACATGATCTTCCGCAAGTGCTTCTCCAAGAAGATCGAGCCACTGCAGGAAGACGCTGGCGGCATTCCTTTTGCTGCCATGTCGGCCGGGCAACTGCAGATCATCCGGAAGCTGGCCCTGGTGACCCTGACCGGCTACATGGAGCGCTACTGCCCGACCCACCGCTCGGGCTGGAACTGGGAGCTGCCCAAGTTTATAAAGAAGATCAAGATGCCCGACTACAAGGACAAGAAGGTGTTTGGGGTGCCGCTCCTGCTGATCCTCCAGCGCAGTGGCCAGACCCTGCCGCTGGCCGTGCGGGCCGCCCTTCGCTGGCTGCAGCTCAACGCCCTGGATCAAGTAGGCATCTTCCGGAAGAGCGGTGGCAAGTCCCGGATCATGAAGCTGCGCGAGCAGATCGAGGTAAGCGACTCCACCGCCGAGTGCATGGACGTCTTCGACCTGCAGCAGGCCTACGACGTGGCGGACATGCTGAAGCAGTACTTCCGCGAGCTGCCCGAGTCCTTGCTGACGACCAAGATGTCCGAGACCTTTGTAGCCATCTTCCAGCGTGAGTATTTATGATACGTCTATATCGGAGGTGGTTTATAATTAATTTTTTGGTTTTTCTCGTAGATCTCCCAGCGGAAGTGCGCCTGGATGCTGTCCAGTGCGCGGTGCTACTTCTGCCCGATGAAAACAGGGAAATCCTGTACGTGCTGCTCGAGTTCCTCACCATAGTGGCCGCCAACGCACAGCAGAACCAGATGACGAGCAACAATCTAGGCGTCTGCCTGGCCCAGTCCATTTTCCACTCCTCCATCTCGACGGGGTCCGCCTCCGTTTCCGCCTCGCCGCGGCGCAAGGGCAAGGGCTCCGGGATGCCGGATATGAAAGAGCTGGCAGAGGCCAAGGCCTCCCACGAGTGCCTCTCCTTCATGATCGAGCACTACAAGGCCATCTACACGGCGGCAAAGGAGAAGCTGAGCAAGTGCAATTTCACCTTCATGGAGGAGTCGAAGCCGGTGCCCCTGGAAGCCCTCGGCGAGGGAATGCAGTTCCACAACTGGCGGGGCTACCTTTACGAGTGCACCACCGCCACCATCAAGGAGGGTCGTGAAAAGTGAGTAGACTGGCTTGGTGGATCACCATACGTTGCTAAAATCCTAAATCCACATCATTGTAGAACACGCGGATGGTTCAGCATCAACTCTCTGACGGACAGCAACGTGGACATCGCCTACAAGAAGGTGGGCGACGGCCATCCGCTCAGGCTCTGGCGCTGCACCACCGAGATCGAAGGTCCTCCGCGGGACGTTCTCGACTACGTGATCAAACAGCGCGCCTCCTGGGACACCAATCTGCTGCAGTGCCAGACGGTCAAGAAGCTGGACGAGCGAACGGAGATCTACCAGTACGCTTTGGACGGCCAGCTAACGACAGACTTTTGTGTGTTGCGGTAAGTGTCCCAAAAGGACTCCTTCCTATCCTCTGGTACTGGTACTAACTGATGCATTTACATCTCCCTTCAGGTCCTGGCAGACAGACTTGCCGCGCGAGGCCTGTGTGATTGTCGAGACCTCCATCGACCACGCCAAGGCCAAGCCCCTGTTTGGGGCGGTCAGGGGCGTGGTGCTCGCCTCCCGCTACCTCATTGAGCCCTGTGGGAGCGGCAGATCCAGAGTCATGCACCTGGCCCGCGTCGACGTGAAGTGAGTGGTTCTACATGTTCTTCAAAGAGGACAAAACTAAACCGCATCCTTTCGTTTTCAGGGGGAAGACACCGGAGTGGTACAACAAGAACTACGGACACATCTGCTCCCACTACTTGTCCCGCATCCGGCAGGCCTTCAAGCACGTGGCCGAAGGTCCTGAGAGCAAGGTGTAAGCGCCTTCCGGCCTCCAGGACGTCCAATGTATTCGTTGTTTGCCGTTAAATGTCCCATTAATGTGTACCTTGCGAAGGAAGCCCGATCCCAACGACAACACCTTCCAGACCACAAACATGAGCTTGCGTTTTCCTCTACGATACCGGAGGAGTATATTGTAAATAATTTTAGTGGGCTGCCCAGCTTAGTTAGCGCGTGTCGGCAGCCCTCCTACACCCTTCGATTAAACACATAGTTTAGTGTATTATATTTATACGTGGCCCTATTTATACGCAGTACCCTGTATGACGAATGAAAGAAATCTAACATCCAAAATACTCAACACACGTAAATATCACAAAGTATATCGTTAATAGCGTACCGCCTAGGCTTACGACGGCACTCCAAATGTCTTAATGTTAATTAGTTTTTAGAGTGGCAATATGTTATTCGGGAATACAGAAAAAAAAGAAACAAAACAAAAGCAAACGCAGACGGAAAGCAAATCAACCTTAAATGTGTATAGCACATTCAACTAGTCAAATTTTATAAATTAAGTTAAAGTACACTAACAAGAACACTCGACATCAAACGTCTTTGCCACCCAATAGTTTTCTCGGGAGCGCCGCCCGACTCCGATCGATTTGGCCTGAAATATTGATTGATTTATTGACAAACAGTGTTATATGACGAGACGTGCCCTAGATCCCCGATCAATATGCATACTTAGGTTTATATGTGTCTATGCTATTACTTAAATCTATATGAGGTACCAGGTGCCTGCCAGGACGCAGGCGGTAAGGAAACAAACTAACCAATGTCAACGTTTATAGTGGCAAAGTAACTCAAATATATAAAACGCAATAAAAGTACATACTATGGATATGCGAAAATGTAAATTAAACTTATTTTTTGTTGGGGAAATGGGGGAAATAGTAAAAATAGGAAATAGAGGGTATTATAATTATCAAAAAAATCGTTTAAGGTACTCCGCTTGAGAATCGGATGAGAATTGGAGAAGATACAGCCATCACAGTGGGCCATATAGGGGAAATCCGCATTTTCAAGGGATCCCATCACGAAAAATGGACAAAAAATCTAAAATATATTTTGTCTCAGGATTTTGATGCAAGATGGTGGGAAATCGATCCACAAATCGTTTAAGGTACTCCGCTTGGGAATCGGTTGAGAATTGCGGAAGTTATAGCCATCACTGTGGGCCATACAGGGGAAAACAGCATTTTTAAGGTATCCCATAATGAAAAATGGACAAAAAATCTAAAAAATATTTTGTCTCAGGATTTTGATGCAGAATGGTGGGAAATCGATCCACCAATCGTTTAAGGTACTCCGCTTTAGAATCCGATGCGAATTGGAGAAGATATAGCCATCACTGTATATAGGCCATATAGGGGAAAATCCCATTATCAAGGGAACTGTATTCGATGTTAGCCATATACATACATATGTATATCCGGTTTTAACGACAAGGGTATGTATAATATTAGCTTTCCTTTTTTGTTAATTTTGAATTGTGGAGCCCTGAAGTGGAGCCCCTTTGGTGTAAAATTAGTTTTTACACGGATATAGGTGGCGGTACTGGAATTAGCTCCGCCAGATGGTGCTTGCTTTAAAGCGACTCGTACAGATGGCGCCACTTATCGAAGAAGAAACGACGACTTGAAGTGGGGGGCGGCACTGGAGTCGCCCCACCGGTTGTCCCGGGCCTTTCAAAAGTCTAGCCAATGTTCTCCCCGTTTTTCTGCGAACCTCTTTACCACGAGGAGTTCCTGGCTCGTCCACTGTGACCGTCTCAGGTCTAGAATTTCTATAGGAAGATTATACGGTCAAAATTATTCCCAACAAGATGCGAACGCCCAGCGCCAGTTTGTGAATTTTTCTTCTAATTGACCAGCCTGGAGTAACTAAATCTCCGCCAGGAGCGAGTGCTCCCAACACCTTCATAAGTGTATTAGCTCCTGCATAAACGGTCGCTAATTGTGCCCAGCCTGCACGAAAACTGGCCCCAAAAAGCTCAACTCTCATGAAGCCCAAGCACCTCAGACCCGGACTGCGATCGCCCTCCGCACATGCGACAAACATTAAAAGTCCATTAAAAAATTATGTTCACCATGGCGAACTGGGCTCCTGTTGGGGCGGTCCAGACTTGGAGGAAGGCAATAAGTGCACCGGAAAAAAGGATTTTAGTTATTAAAAAATGTTATTTTATGAGGTGACACTATTGGTAACTGCAGTCAATTCAAGTATGAGACTACTCTTTCTCAAAACTGGACTCTGGAATTAGGAATTGGATTTTCTCCGCCTGTAAGCACGCCGACCTTAACGGCCCAGTTGGGGCCGTTGTGGCTAAACTTAGAGTGCAAGAAACAGCAGTCGGGCAAGGCATAATCGTAATTGGAAATTGCAATTGCAAATTGCATATTGCATATTGCCGTGTGGCCCACATGCAGTGACATCGATTCGAGGCTGTCCGCCAGGCCGCCTGTACGCCTGTACGCCTGTCCGCCCGCCTGCCAATGCAAATGTCCGACGTATTGATTGCATTAATTAATTAATTTGTGACTTAATTTCATGGGCTTGCGGCAATCAGCGCTCCGTGCACGCACCGCAGCCGAAATGTATTAATATTTCGCCGACGACGACGCGACTGATGCGCCGCACGTGTGTGTGTTTGCCTTGTTATTAATTGAAATTTAATGGCACAAAATATTTTTATTTATTTATTCGCCTGCAATTGCATTTATGCGCACTTCCGTCGCCCCCACACGCGCACGCACAGCCCCTGCAAGTGCCGCTGTTGCAGTGGCAGTCGCGATTGCCACTGCCTTTGCAGGGAGTAGCTGCAACATCGACGGCTCTGCCGCCGGCGGCGGCTGGCATTTAACATCAAAAGCCCTGCCCAGGCCAGACACCCGCCCCGCCCCGCCCCACTCCTGGCCACGGCCAACGAGCTTGTAATTGATTTCACTTAAAAATTAAATAATGCATGCGGTTTTTACTGTAAAATGGATTTTCCAAATGCTGCTGCCACCGTTTCTTTCTATCTTTCCGCACCACGCACCCTGCTGCTGCCGTTGCTGCTACTCGAACTGCTGCTGCTGGGCCCGTGTTAAATTAAATATGAAAATAAATATCAACATAATTGAAATGGCAGCGACGGGAGGACAGGGCAGCCGGGCAGCCGACACAGCGCAGCTGGGCGACGTAATTGATGAAATTATTTAAGAATTATTTCACAAATGCGGCGTGACAATTATGCGGGAGGATAGCCCAGATCATGAACCGAATGCACAGAGAGACAAGTGTTGTGGAAAGTTTGCAAAATAATGTTGAGGAACTTCGAGACCTTCAGATTGCTAGAAGCATGCTCACCAAGGCCCCGAAAGGAATATTAATGTTACGAAATTGCGATTTAATTATTTGAAAGTGTATTGAAATGAGCAAATAATAAAGCAGAAATTGTATTTAAACGCAGTCTGTAATTAATTATCTGCATCGGACCCCAGACCCCAGGCCCCAGCCCTCCTCGACGGCGCCCACAGTGATTCCACAGAGGAGTTCTGTGTTGATCGCATGCCAAACAGTGCCCGCAATAAATTAATGAACCGAAAAACAATTATCATAAATAGCAGCAGCAACAGCAGCGGCATGCTGCGAACTGCAATACTTTTTCCATGAACTGATTTACAATTCCGCGAGCCAGTCGATGCTGCTCTTTGAAATATTAAATATACAGCAATTACAGTCTGCGATAAATAAACGCAAGCGACACTTGCCAATGGCTTTTTAGCAAAAATCCAAAGGCAATTGTGCCGTGCAATAGTTGCGATTCCCTTTAATTTTGCATTTATAAATAAGTGGCGATTTTCGCTGACTCTCCATCGAGCCATCGAGCAGAAATTCATGAGAACTGAGCCAATGCCGCCAACTAAGGCGAATCGCACTGCCGAGGGGTACTCGGGGGCTTCTGGCTTAATTAATTAAAAATATACATATTTGCATTCATTTCGTCGACTCGACGTCGACATGCAATCACCACCACACAGTGGGCACATTCCTGCCGCTTCTCTTCGCTTCCACGAACTCCTCGAATCGGAGAGAAGACGCGAAAAAATCAACAGAGCCGGCCGAGGCGGCAATTAAATCGCGACTCGCGATTGCCGGGCCCTTGGCACTTGGCGTTTGATTCCCAGGCCGGCTCAGCAAATGTTTGTTTCGTTTGCTAATTTCGCCTTAAAAGTGCCTCCAGTCCGGTCCCTGGGCTCGAGTGTCCGCACATGGCGGGGCACTGCGGCTGCTGGGAAGCGCCTCGAACGACTACCAAGTACCGGCTACCGATCAGCGGCACGTCAAACGCCTACGCCGGAATGTGCCCGTGGAAGAGGCGAAAGACTGAGAAAAAGCGAAACTAGATACAGGAGACTGCAGATTGGGGACGGGGGTCTGCCTATCCAGGCCACCAATGGAGGCAATTGACAGTCGCGACCAGAGGGAGCAAAGTTGGCGCTGCGACAAATTTCCATACCCTCTGCCTTCGGGTATGACCGGCAGGTTGCATTCAATGTAATGGAACATGTTGGGGCTCCATCTCACTTCATTCCCTGAGTACTTCATGGTCGACTTCTAGTCCAGCCATTAAGTTACTTGATCTTGCTTATACCCTTGCCAGCCTTGTTTTATTTTGTCGTCTTGCCGTTTTGCGTGCGCACTTTTAATTGCAATTGAATTTTAATTACTGCGTTGTCAGCAAAGAATGTTGCAGCCAGTCGTTTAAGTGCCGGCAGGCAATGCGAAAAGAGACAATGAGGCAGCATCAACAGGAGCAGCAACATTGAGCCCCGCCGGCAACAGTTGCCGTCTAGTTAGCAGCAACTTCTGCTCCAGCTGCTCCTGCCAGTCTGGAATCCAGAATCGAGCCCAGAGTACAGAGTACAGAGTCCTGAGTAGGGCGCCCTCCCTGAGTCTCTCCCCCTGCTCTGGCTTTGACTTATTTACAGCTTTGTCATCGGGAAAGGCAGCAATTAAGTGGAACGACAGTCGACAGACGACAGCCGACGGCTCAGAGCTCCACTGGTTGCACGGGTTTATTTCGCGTTCGCCCTTCATTAATCAGCAGCAATATAAACGCGATGATCCGATAGCGTTTATCGACTGCTGATGACTCTATTTACAGTGGCCCGGCTAAGGGCATGGGTATGCCCCGTAGATAGCCTAATGAAGCCCCGCCCACTGCTCGTCGCAATTAGGAATGTCTGGGCCTTTGATTGGGTCTTGAGTCTTGAGTCTTGACTGATGGGCTTCAGCGGAGCCCAGACAATGGGGCCTACATTCCAGATTCTCTGGCCCGAGTTCATCGAATATTTTATAATTGATTTAAGATTTATCTGCCAGCTAATGGCAGTTAAGACTTGGGCTAATCGCGGAGCTATAAAACATAATGGGCAGCCTAATCGAAAGCTCACTTATCAATCATAAAATATATTCCCTATCTTAAGCTCAGACCCTTTTGAATACTGAACCCTTTGCACTGTACCGGCCGGTATGACTCATATCCCACCATCTCCCAGACAGGTGCCACAACCTAGAACCAAAAACAGAGTGGGTGAAGTCGAACCAGTGCGGGTGACACTCTCCCCGGGCGAACAGCTCCACCAATCAACGGCGAAAATAACAAAATGTCAAACAGAACGCATGCAACAATTTATTTAAATACCTCAACCTCATCAAATTTAAGTTAACACACCCCAAGCATCAGCATAAGCATCAGCATCAGCATCAAGCATTACGACAGACGTCGGGCCCCAGCCGACTGAAAATGAAAACGAAAACGAAAATGAAAATTCAATTTTCCACCTAAACGCAGACACCGCATCAATTTTGAAAATGCTTTTGCCCGGCAATGAAAACGATTTGTTGTGTTTGACGAAGAGCCAGCTGCAAGTGGGTGCCAAGCAGCCAAGGGGACTGGCTACAAAGGGGGCCACAAGGAAGCCAAGTGGAGCCCAGACAGGGAGCAGCCCTCAAACGGCGGCCAAGAAGTCAATACGGAACGATGGCGATGCTAAAGAGATGCAGGCGGTTCGGCTCTGCAACAGAGGAATAAGAAGGGCAAAGGAAACGGGCATGGCACTGTTGGGAAGGGGCAAGGGAGCTTGCCAAGCACTGGGCCAAAATGGGGGAGGCACGAGCAAGTAACCCATTTGGAAATCTAGCAGGCCATTACTACTTTTCTGGTTTTAAGTCAGGACCAAATCTATGAAAAGCTATGTTTATGATGTCCAAATTAATTCTTCCTAATTTTTAATCAGTGTCTATCTTAATAACTACAAGATTTTTAAGTATAAATACCATATATACCACGTACTGTAGGTATTTTCCAAGTGCAGCCAATTTGTTGGCCTTTTGAGCTTCTGCGGCTGTCAACAGGGAGCACTCCGAGGCAATTTAAATATTTCTCAGTGGTGGCGTGCGTCAATTGGCTGGGAGACCGTCCATACAATTATGCTCTGGCAACGGTATCTCGTACCCCTCCGATAATCGCCGGGCGCTGGGCTGCTGATTTATGCAACGATTTCCACTGTTTTGATCGATCAGACCCAGCCCTTCCAACCTCCGAGCACGAGTTTATTAAAACATTTAATTAGTTTTTATTGACCATTAAGATTCCAATCATGACTGGCCGGCAGCGCCGGAACAGTAGCAGCACCATGGAACAGCATGGAATACACCCACCAGCGCCACTTTCTACCCCAGCACTTATTTATACACTTTTAGCTTTATTACTTTTCCACAAAAACATTTTATGGCGGCCAGCATCGAAATATTTATGATATTTCAACAATGGGCCAACAGTGAGCGAACCAAAAATTTTTGACTAAAATCGAAATAAAAACATACAAATTAATTAAAGTCAATAAAGTAAATTAAATGTGGCCGGGGCCGGGGTCGGGGCGCAGGCGGACCCTTTTAATGGGCCATTCGAGCGGTGTATCGGGTGTGTTGGTGGTGCCGTGGAGCACTGGTGTGGTGGTGCTGTGGTGCTCCCTACGCAATGCCACTGCTAATGGCCAAAAAGCCGGCTACTCGGCTGCTCCTCCGAGGCGAGTGATCATGGCGATGAGATGGCACCCTGCACTGGCATGCACTTCGCTGCCAATTTAATGGCGTTTTTACAACTTGAAAGATTCGTGCCTGCCACGCCGTTTTGAGCGATGATGTTTTTGGGCGCCCACACCCTTCCTTTCCCCCAGCCATGGCACTCCACCCCCTCCCAAAACGCACACGAAATGCAGCGCGGCGAATGTCATTAGAACATAAAAATGATATTAATTGCATGCGAGAGTGCATCACTCCGGAATCCGGACGAGGCGGTAGGGATGGGAAATGTCTTCAGAAGTCGGAGGCATGCGATGGAAACGTCTGCGTTATGATGATGGAATACCATGGGACAACTAGTTAAGTACATTGACACTCGTAAGGGGTCTTTTAAAAACACCCTGTTTAAATTTGGAATTGATCCACGAATCTTTTCAGATTCCTTTTAGGAAAACTTTTAGAAAATTTATCAAAAAATCTTTAAAAAATATATTTCTTCTAGATTTTGCTGGAGATTGATCGTTGGAGATTGATCGTCCATGGAGATGGAGATTGAGACATAATCGGTGGCTTATTGGGAATACTGCAGCCATCGGCAGGACCAAAAAAGTCCCTCCCAAAAATTTCTAAAAGGATACCCCAAAATTTTAATAAACAATCTAATAAATATTTGGTTGTTTTTAAAGAAGCTTTTAAAGAAGATTTATGGAAAATCGATCTACAAATCATTCAAGGCAAAGCTACAACTTTCGCAGTGGTTAAGAATGATACAAGAAATCACATAACTTTCGTAGAACTATCCGATAGAGTATATATTTTTTCCTCAGTAAAGTCCAAAGTGCTAAAGACGCAAAGTGCCAGAGGCATCCACTTACTTTGGAATGCCGGAGGGGCGCCTTTTGATGGCGACGGGTGACAGGCGGAGCGATCGCATAGCACTGATAAATAATAAAAATTAAAAATAAATTAACACCTAGTAAAGATGCAGCGGCGGACGGACCCCAACCTGATATGCCTCTTCCCATTTGTCCCGCTCCGCTGTTTACTGGGGACCTGGTTTCGGATGTTGCCGGTCCGCAGACAGCTTAAAAATAGCGAAAAAGTAATTAAAAACGAAAATATAAGGCGGGAGACAAACGCACACAGCACCTCCGTCCCTTCTCTCTCGAAGGGGAAAATATAAAACGAAAATGTATTGGGTTTAACAAGCGCATCGTCGATGCAGTCGGAGATCAAAGGAGGCAGGACCGGGCCGGGGCCGGGTCTGGGACTGGAGTGACGGGGACGGGGCGCCCGAGGAGCCGGAGGAACTCTGGGATGCCAGAAAGTGTTGTCCGGAGCGATAATGATGATGCTAATGCAGTTGACATTTTATGTGGCCATAGAATGCCGGGCATGGCCGATAATTAAATGCAATAATAATTCAATTTAATTAGCCGGCAGCAGCTGGTTGGAGCTGGTGGGGAGCGGCCCCGGGGGAAGTGCTTAAATATTGATGGATTGATTTAGCATAATATTTGGTTTACGATTTCACATTGTTTGGGGATTTGCTTTGGGGGCAGCAGCTAATTAAGGCGCCTCCAAAGGGGTCGACATCTGTCGCAAGTGATGACTATTTCACAGTGACGAGTGACAGTTAAAGTTCCATAGTTTAAACGAATCCACATATCCGATCCACATATCCGATCCACACACAACCGCGAATCAACAGCCCCTTCTGACGCAGTCTGTTGTCTGACAAATCCGATTTGGTGCGAGCTTTTAATAAGCCCACACAGGCTTGTATCCTTGCCCAGGAGCCTGCAAGGACATGGCGACCATGCAAGAGATATTTCATTGAATCAATTAACGCTGGACATGGCATAATAATTACTGTCTGCTGGTTGCCACACAGCCCGGGCTCATACACAGCCACCCACAGGGCACACCGTTGTCTACCACCCACCGCCCACACAGGCAAGGTCGCCGGAAGCGACAGAGCAGCAGGGCGTGCTCGCTCCTTCGGTGACAACTGGATGGGAGCTCATCCTGGCCTCGTTGCTTAACCAACTGAAACAGTCCAGAGAAGCGGCAGGTGGGGGTGGCAGCCGTCCAGTGGGCGAAAACAAGAAAGAGAAATGCACTGTAAGGAAGAAAGGCACGTGGGCAGTAGGGTTTGTTCAGAAATAAGATACTTCCGTCATATTGGACCAAGTATCTTGAAAAAGTGTGAAAAAATAACAAGCATCATACATTTTTAATATTTCACACCAAAGATTTCTCTCAGTGCAGCAGTAAAACAAAAATTTGCCCGTATTAAAGCAAAATAATGAAGTGAAAATGGCAACAATGTGATTACACACAGTCATAGACCCAAAGCCATAATAAATGGTTCTGCGAGCTATAGAAGGGGAGGTCAGGCGGGGGAACAGTGGGAGTGTGGGGGACTGAACCGAGAGTGTCTGCGTCGGCGCTCCTCGGAATGTCGCTGGCAACATGTTGCTGGCTGCTAACTTGTTGGATGCAGGCCCACAGTAATGGATTTCCCGCCCCTCGGGCGTGGAAGAAAAACTTCTGATTTCTGATTTGGCTGGCAAACAATTTCCGAAGTGCGATTGCTTAAACGCAATTCGAAAGGTTATTAATTGAGCGGCCATAATGGGTTCATTTCCAGTTCGTAATGTGCCCCCATTAGCAGCACACATTTACCGATTTTTCGACTTTCGTTCGGACTCGGACTCGGATGCGGATCCCGATGCCAGGGCACTTGACGGCAACATTACGCCGAGTTAAATTGCTTGTAATGACGGCATCGGAACAACAACGGGCAGTGGGCGGGGAAGGGGGCTAAACAGGGCTATATGTGTCCAATTACACGGGCTGTGGCAGGGACGGTGCTAGAGGGTGGGGGAAATCGAACAGGCAAGCAAATGTCAGACAGCGTTTCTCCATTTGCAGCAGGACGTCGGATTGGGGAGCCGATATGGATATGACTACATCTAATGGATACACACGTTGGCCTGCGAGGGCTGTGCCGGCCTGGCCAACAAACTTTCGGCCCAAATGGCACTATTCAAAAAGTTCCAGGTCGAGGAATTCTCCAGACGGTGGTAGGAATATGTAGGATTTATCAATGGAGTTAGTCACTTATATGAACAGGGTTCAAAGGTTAAACTATTACAAGCTTCTACAAAGTATTACAAGTTGGCCTGGATTTCTAATTCGGGCCGATTAACTCAAGACCTCATTCAGTCATACAACACATCGACTCCAAAACACACCGACAGAATAGAACGCATCGTATCGTGAAGCAGGACCAAGAAAACTGCCGTGTTTCTTAATTTTTTGTTAATCTTAAACAATTTACACTAATTACACTTACAACTAAGTCGGATGGAGGCACTGGACCCCGAGGGACTGGACCGAGATCCCCACGACATGCTCCTGATCGATCGAATTGGCGATGCAGTAGCGGTCGACGATGGCAACGATTCCGACTCCCAGGAGCAGGAGCCACTGGAGCTCCACCATCAGGCACATCATGCACTGAGGCGGGACACCCGGCGCGTGGCAATGCTGCTGGACGCGCCACTTGAGCCTCCGCCCGTGGGCCCGTTCCAGGCCGCCCAACCACGCCCTGCGGCAAGAAGCAAGAAACGAAGCTTCCTCACAATTGTGCGGCCGACGGTGCTCCGGAATCGGCGGCCGGAGGTGTGCTCCCTCTTCCTGAACGCCTCCAGAGCGATGCACGACGTCCGGGAGGAGCAGCGGGCCGAGTTCTTTGCGGAGTACCTCTTCGAAAACATGACCAGTGAGAACTATCCCAACGGTGCCGGCCTGCCGCATCACTGGGGCGAGTTCTGATTGAACGTGGGTTCGGGGAACCCGCGCCGGGTTGCCACACGAGCGGGAGGACGTTGCACGAATCCGATCCTCCCAGGGCCCAGATCAGTTCTTCCACATCCTTCCTTTCCACGTCTCTCCTGAACACACTAGGTAGGAGTAGGACTGTTGAAACATTCTGCTTTTTGGCCCAAGGTCGGTTGGCCAGCGATTTTGAGTTCTCGTCGACTGAGTTTCAGAATTAAAGCAGCGAATTCCAACGAAAATTCTTGAAAGTCGTTTTATTTCTAGTCTGAATGAGAATTCAGCATGTTGCAGACAAACTCCGTTTACAGGTACCGGATTAATAAACCATTTACACATCAAACAACGGCAGAGGCAGACATTTTCGCCAAACACGGCATTCAAATCAAAGTTTTTGGATTTGATTTGCCGGCCGGAGGGCTACCGAAAAATTCATGAAATTGACAATTAATAAACTTCAAATTGGGGCTCTCTGGGCCAGGAGCAAAGGGATTTGCCGCCCAACAATGGCCGGCCACTGACAATGGCCACAATGAACAACAGTACAGCATCATACGGGGGGTTCGAAGTTCCAAACTCTGAGCCCTAAGCCCCAAGCCCCCAACCTCGAACTCCGAACAGGGAAGGCCAGTGGCAGAGACAAAGGCCGAAAAACGGACAATTGCCCAAAGTGTAGCAAATAAATACAAAATGCAAAAGATAATTGCAATCAAAGCCACAAAATGTAGCCAAGAGGCTTATAAATTGTGGGCGGCGGGCCAGGCCGCAGGGTGGGGGACGAAATGCGAAAGGGGGAGGTGGGTGGCATGCACCATGCGCCATGCACCATGCACAGAAGGTAAACGCATTTAATTTCCTAAATGTGCTTCACATACCACAGGCGGCACAAAGCTACACACTTGCATTCATGTTCAAATACATTGCAGTCAGTTGCAGTTGCAGTTGCCGTTGCTGTTGCAACATCACCGCCCATGCCCCCCACCGACAATAAGGCAACAACAAGAACAGCAGCAAGAAGCAGCAGTTGAAGCGATGGCAATTTACGACCATTATTGCAACAGACAGCCGGCTTTATTATGTGCCACGCCCGCAACAGAGGCCACTGAGCGAAAATGCGGCTTGTGGCAAGGCCCAATGGCAGTGTCAAGGAGCCAGGTGGCATAGTACTAGCCGTGTCGGCTTCCTCCAGCCGTTACCTGCTATCGAAGTGGATTTAGCAAGATTTCTCCCAGTGCAGGCCCCCCCGCAGCACTGCGTGGGTGAGTTTGTTTCTGCCATAACTTTTTGCGGCTGCTTTTAGGCTGAGCTCTCGCATTTGCTTTCTGGTCACTCTGTGATTGCAGTTGCAAATGGCACTGGCCACATGCAACAATGCAGCTGCCACGCCGCGCGCGCCTTCTAATTGAATTGGATTGAATGCAATTGAATTGATTTTCGGTTAGCTTTGTCTGCCTAATTGTTTCATTTACAGGCCGGGATGCCGCCATTCGAAGGCAGCTCGAATAAAATGAAACTAAGCCAGGGCTCCCGGAATGGGGGCCATTATGGCGGCGAGGGTTGATTAATTCACAGAAGTTCCTGCGCCAATTTGGCAATCCATTTAGCTTGTGATTCTGGGGTTGTTCTCCGCCGACCCTTCCCAAAAATCTGCACACCCATTGTGATTGATGTTGCACGAATTCTTTGATCTCTGACCCGCCCCCACCTGACCTTTGAGTAATTGATTTTGGCTCGCAAAAATGACAGGTTGCATTCGGCTCATCCACATGACAAGGCAAGAAATGCCCCACTCCCTTGTCGCGCTCTTGTAGTTTCTCCTTAATTATATACACACCCCGGTTCGCATTAATTATTGCCCCCGAATTCCGTGGAAAGCCCCCGAAAACAAAAACTGCGGCGTTTTGTCAACCCAGCAAAGTTACGTAGAAACAATTACACCAACGAGACATGGTGGGGCTCGGAAGGCCCACAAAACCTACTCCAGATACTCTTTAGGAGCCAATCTATAAATGAGATTCACATTATGTAGTGTAGTATATCATAGATTCCTTCCGCAACACTACCATAAAGCTCCCCAAATTATTCAGTTTCCAAAGGAGGTCAGAGTATGGGGAGTTCTGCATCGCTCTGCTTAGCATACTATATTTTTTATTCGTGGTGCTTATGGGGAAACGTGTGCAGAAAGTTTTCCACTTACAAACAATTCACAAGTAAATACCTTGACTTTTGCTGCTGGCCCTGGAAGAGGAGAGCTTAGAGGGGCTTGCAGAGGCGACTGCCCTTGCCAGAGCCCTCCCCGAGTCCCAGCCACATGCTGGCAGGCGGGCGGAGTGTAGCAAATTGTTGGAAAATAAAGTAGGTACACTAGCAACATAAACAGCAGCAGGAGCAGCAACAGCTACATCCGCCAGAACGACAAGAGCCATCCCGTGGATGGCAAACTGAGCATCGGCAAGATACGCTTCGATGTGGGGAGCGTGGGTGGGCCTGCTCCGGCTCCTTCCAGACTGTCCCCCAATCCGAACAAATACGAGTACGAGGAGCTGTCTAAACACGATTTGCACTGCTAGTTGGCAGTGGCAACAGCAACAGATACTGGCGCACTGGCAGCCATGGCAACAGCTGGCATCCGACTGGCCCTGTTCCGCCCAAAACAATAACACTCACCCGAGCAGCTCACCTGGAGAGGAGTCAAGAATTAGCGAAATGCAATAACGCAGCTAATGAAATTACTCGTCCGCCCATCGCCTCCCAGCCGATTTGTCTCTCAGTGTAATAACTTAATTCCTCGCTACTATATTATTCATTTCGCTGCACACAACCGACAGGAATTTGATGGAATTTCCTGTAAACAGGCAGCGCCCAGAACACGGCCAGACAGGGCCACTTCCCCTGAATAGGCGCTGAGCTCGGAGTGGGGGACAGACCCACCATTCAGACAGCCCGACGGACACACAAACAGGCTCATGAGCAGCTTGGGGGAACAGTCAATAGCCTGCCACTGGCTTGCCTCATTGTTGCTGCTGCTGTGGCTGTTGCTTTGTTGCCTCGTTTCTGCCGGTTAAGCAAATAGGCCGCGCTTGGCACTTCAGACAATCAGACAAGGCATTCGGCCAAAATATGTGCTGGCCAATAATATTTACCTTGCTTATCCATCTTACAAATACATGCTTAAGATGGAGTTCTCTTTGGAACAACATAACTGCTCATTAGACAATCAAAAGACCAGGGTATTATTAAGAATTGAGGAAGAACACCCCTTTTGGAAGGATCCTCTTCTGAACTAGAGCTCACTGGCTGATTCAGCTGGCATTTGCGATCTTAATTGATGGCAATTTGCGATTCGTCCTCCACAGACTCAAGCTGGGAGAGGAGCTGAGCCTCCCTGGCTCCTGGCCGGGCCATTAACACATTTTAATCTGCTGCTGGGCGAATGGCTTTTGTGTGACGGGGGTAGTCTGTATCTGCATCTGCATCTGCGTCTGAATCTGGCCCGGAATCAGACTCGGAAGCTCCTCCGGCGAGCTCCGAAAGTCGACGCTCAGTCGCTCTTAATCATCAGCATAAGCAATAATGGGAAACAATTGCCATCTGCTGGCAGCCAGACCTGCCACACTCCCCAGCCGACCCCTCTGAAATTGCTGAGCTGAGGCACAAACTTTTATTGCATTGCCATGTCAACAGTCGCAGCCAAAGCAGTGGCAGTCTGTGTGTGCCACTGTGTGTTGCACTTAAAATGCGAGCCCGAATCCGAATCCGAAACCGACTGCGAATGGGAATGCGAATGCAGATTGTGACGCAAAATGAAGCTACTTGTGTGCCAGTCACAGGCACGCACAGATACAGATACAGATGCAGAGACAGACGCAGATACAGGGGCAGATTTGAGCGGCAAACTGCGGCGGTGGTGCTGCAGCATGCCACATTCAATTAGTGCAACAACATATCCTGCCAGCCAGCAGTTGATGTTGCTCTCGTGCACGGCAGCAATACGAGCAACAGACAGCAACAGAAACCCGGCAGCAACACAGACCCAGTAGTCCGTAGTCCGTACTCCTCCGTCCGGAGTCAGTGCTGCACTTAATTTTATTCATTTGACAGTTGCAGCACAAAGTCTCGACACACAGTTATACATACACGGAGAGAAAAGGTTGGGGAATTGCAATTGGTTTGAACTTTGAAGTCAAAGTAAGTGTGGGTGTCTTTGAACGAAATTGTTTTCTATTTATATTTGGAAACGATTTGAAAAATATACAAACCCTAATATCTTGTATGTTGTTTTCGCTGCACAATCGCAAGCTCATGAGGCACGTTCGAATCGCTGCCACACGTTCAGCAGCAATTAAGGTCATTGGAGGCAGCAAGAGTAGCAGCACAATGGAGGAAATACTTTTTAATTATGACATTTTATTGAGTGAACATTTATGCGGAAATGACAGGACTCCGGCGACTTAATGTGCGGGTTAACAGGGTTGCAGGGTTGCAGGGTAGCCCGCCATTGTCTGGTGGGTGGAAAGGACAAAGGAACGTGTATGCGCCTCAATCCTCGAGTCGAGTTGTCCTCGACTCCAATTAAGTCTAATTGAAATTCATGTCCTGCAAATCAAATTTACACCCGTGCCCTGGCTCCTCGTTCTGGTCCTGGCGAGGAATTCAATTTGGCAAATACACTCGGGCAGCAGGCCTGAGCCGCCATGAATATTTGACACGTTTTAAATGTCGCAAAGCGCATAAAAATTCCATAAATACGCTAATGAAACACATGGCCGTGGAAGGACACACACAGTCCCAATAAAAATCCAGATCGAAAAAGGAGAACAAGGAGGAGGGCTTGGCGGGAAAAGCGAGCAAAAAGGCCAGCCTCGGAGGAGGTGGAGGGGCCACCCAGGCAGCCAGTCAGTCGGCACATGCAACAAGGCCACGAGGGGGTTTCCCCATTTCCCCACTTGCCACTCTCTGCTCCCTGCTCCCCTTCGCCCTGCCACCGTTACGCCAAATGCATTTCCATTTTATATCCATTTATTTCAATTTCTCATCCCATTTGTTGTTTTGACTTTTTCGCAGAACGGGGATACATATAGACTCCGAGCAGAGGAGGTATGTAGATACATTTATGGGGCAGCACAAAGAGGGCTGATAATATGGGGCAGGCAGGGCACTTGTGACTCCTGGATGCACCTACGATTGCCAAAATATGGATTCCTAGGTCTGCCTCCGAGCCCGACTGGGATGTCTGCGTTTA